GCAGGGGAGGGTCAGAGAGAGAGGGAGTCACAGACTGAAACAGGCTCCAGGCTCTGAGCTGGCCGTCAGCACAGAGCCCGACGCGGGGCTCGAACCCACGAACCGCGAGATCATGACCTAAGCGAAAGTCGGACACTTAACCGACTAAGCCACCCAGGCGCCCCTGATCAGTTCTTTTCAAACTTGGGCAAGGGTAGGAATCTCACCTGAGAGCTTGTTAAGATACAGATTCCTGGGCCCCGCCCCCAAAGAGCCTGAGCGTGTGCGTCAGCGTAGGGGTGGGGGAAGTCCAGGGATGTGTATTTCTAACAAGCTCCGGGTGGTGCCGGTGCCGTGGCCCTGGACTGAACAATTGTGTGCAGCCTGAGTCCACGGGGAAGTAAAGTGGCAGTGTGGTGAGTGGTTGAGGAATTGGGAAAGCCACTCTGAAGAGTTGACCTTCGAGAAGGGTCCAGATGCAGGGGAAGAGCAAAGCCTCAAGACAGGATGCATCGTGGTGGGCGTGAGGAGCTGAAAGGCGGCCAGGAGCCCAAGAAGGCTGGTGTGTGGGGAGGGTGCTGGAGACGAGGTCTGAGAGGTGATGGGGAGCCTAGATTGCATGGGGTCCACCTTGTAGGTCATTGTCAGACTGGTAGCTTTATTCTGGGTGCAGCAGAAGCTTCTGGAGGCTTAGGAGCAGGGTGATATGATTTGCCTGGTGCGTGTGAAAGGGCCAGTCTGCTGCTGGGCGGAGAATGGGTGCTTTGGGGGGGTGGGTGCGGATGGCACTAAGGAAGCCAGTGGGAGCTTGCCGAGGTCGTCCAGGACTAAGGGGAGACTGGGGAGAGGCAGAGACAGACAGGGAATCTTCTGGAGGAGAGCTGGCATGGTTTGCTGCTGGATGAATTACTAGTCACTGCCCCTCGGGACCACAGATGAGCTTTGCTGGGGTGCTGGGGCGCTCTGCCGCGTCTCTTGCCTCCCTGGGTCAGTCCCACCCATGAGCCCCTCGTCCCAGGCAGCTTTATGTCTCCCGTCGCGGACCCAGCACAGAGTGGCTGTCGGTGCCGAGGGGGTGGGTGAGAAAGAAGCTAGGCTGTCCAAGCACAGACCCCCAGGGCCTCCTATGCCAACCTGTCCTCAGGCTCAGGAAGGTCCCGCACACCAGCCCCAGGACTAGGTCCCACTTCGCGTTCTGAAAATAGCCGACTGCCTGGTTTCCGAACCTTTCCCCGGCTGACGTGCCTTAGGAAGTGACAGTCCACCCCGGCCTCGAGCGCGGTCAGCATAAAGATCACACCACTGACTGTTTTCCTGGGTCAGGTTTTATGACGTTGGGTTTTGAAAGCAGTGGACGGCATGGCTTACCAACCGGTCCTGGGAACCATTGGAGAGGTGATCTGTCAAGTTCATTACAGGTTGCTGTTAACCTAACTTTTTTTTTTCCTGTTTTAGGAGGAAGTAACCGGGAAACAATCGACATCAGGTATTTCTTTATTGATTTTTCTAAGGAAAAGGGCTTAGTGTTTCTTAGGGTTGGGGAGGAGGCGGCCCTGGCTTCTGTGCTGGGCCAGGTGGGGGTGGGGATTGGCCATCTGGTCCCTTCGTCTGCTCTGCAGACCATTTCTGAGCCCCCTGCACTGTGCCTGGCCCCGGCTGGGTGCTGGGGGACAGCGGCGCATCAGCCCACACCCTGCCCTGTGGGTAAACTGACAGGCGACACGGTGGGGGAGGGAGGCAGTATGGGCGTCCACAGGCTGCAGTTCGTGCTCTGCCTGTTGCCCTCGGAGCCCCACTCTGCCCCTCTGTAAATGGAGAGAGGACCTGTCTCCGGCAGCCTGGGAGCCAAAATGGTACCCGTAGTAGAGACGAGTATGCGCAGAGCGTTCAGGCCTGTGCCCGGGGGTCCTGGTGCCTTGGGAGCAGTAGCCGTGGTTTTTGGTGATAATCTAAAAATGTAGTTACTGACCCCCCTGAGGGTAGGGCTGATCACCAGTGCTGCAGGTAGGGCTGAAGTGGGGAGTGTGCAGAGCTGCCTCAGGGAGAGCGGAGACACCTGTTTCCAACCCAGTGAACCGGAGTGCCTGCGGCGCGCCAGGCCCGCACTTGCCCCACCTGGCTGCGACCCCCGCCATACCGTGAAGGTCCTGTGGCTTCCATTCCCATTTTGGGGGGGGAATGCGGAGGCCCCAAGAACCCCCGCGAGCACCCATGGGCACGCGAGCTCCGGAAGCGAACCGTCTCCAGGCTTCGGGTGCTGAGGGAACTGCCATCGGGTCCTTTGGCCCTTCCCGAGGCGGCCTGGGTTCCCGGTGCTGGTTTCTGTGCGGGTTTGGTGCATTTCCGAAGTGAAGTCCTGTGTGTTTTTAAAGGAGAGGTGGCCTGAGTTCGTTTTTTTTCTTCTTTTTTAACCATCGATAACCAGCTTGTCCGTTTGCCCATCACTGTGCTGTGCTCTGTTTCCCACATGTATATATGTATTTTTTAATGTTTTATTTATTTCTGAGAGAGACAGTGAGCATGAGCAGGGGAGGGTCAAAGAGAGAGGGAGACACAGAATCCGAAGCAGGCTCCAGGCTCTGAGCTGTCAGCACAGAGCCCGACGTGGGGCTCGAACCCACGAACCATGAGATCATGACCTGATTGGACGCTTAACCGACTGGGCCCCCCAGGCGCCCCTCCCACATGTATATTTAAAGCTCTTTATGGGCGGAGGTTTCTTTATCCTCCAGTGTCTGTGGGCTGTATCCTACATGAGTTTCTTAGGGCCATGGTACCAAAGCGCCACGAAGTGGGTGGCTCCGGGTGGCTGGAAGTCTGAAATCAAGGCATTGGTGGCGCTGCGGTCTCTCTGAAGAATCTGGGGCGGATTCCTAGCCTCTTCCAGCCTCTGGTGAACTCAGACTTGTGGCTTGTGGCAGCGTCACTCTGATCTCTGCCTCCATGTTCATGTGACCATCTTTCCCACGTGCCTGTACATCCCTGCGTCGTCACATGGGGTTCTCTGCCTTCACATGGGGTTCTCTGCCTGCATCCAGATCTCCCTTTTTTTTAATTTTTAAAAATTTATTTATTTTTGAGAGAGAGACAGAGAGAGTGAGTAGGGGAGGGGCAGAGAGAGAGGGAGAGAGAGAATCCCAAGCAGGCAGGCTCCACAGTCTGCACAGAGCCCGGTATGGGGCATGAACTCACAGACTGTGAGATCACAACCTGAGCTGAAACCAAGAGTCAGACTGTTGACTGACTGATAGCCCCTCAGACACCCCTCCTTCTTCTTCTTCTTTTTCTTTTTTTTTTTTAATATTTTTATTTATTTCTAGGAGAGAGAGAGAGAGACAGCGCGAGCAGGGGAGGGTCAGAGAGAGAGGGAGTCACAGACTGAAACAGGCTCCAGGCTCCGAGCTGGCAGTCAGCACAGAGCCCGACACGGGGCTCGAACCCGCGAACCGCGAGATCATGACCTAAGCGAAAGTCGGACGCTTAACCGACTAAGCCACCTAGGCGCCCCTCTTTTTTTTTTTTTTTTTTTAACTAATCTCTACACCCAGTGTGGGGCTTGAACTCATAACCTCGAGATAAGAGTCACATGCCTTACTGACTGAGCCCGCCAGCTGCCCCTCCACGTATCTTTTTTGGGGATTACAGTTCAACCCATAACATTTACAGGGAAGTGACTCTTGAAAGCAAAGAGTCCGACTCAAAGGACCAAAGGACCGACCTTCGAGGATGCGTCCATTCCCCCACTTGCTCGAGGAGTAGGTATTGTTTGCCTCTCCGGTGCCGGTGGGCTAGGTCCCGGAGATAATGGGGTGGCCAGAGGGACCGTGATCTTTGTTGCAAATGCACCCGAATCTAGAAGGAATCGGTGGGATGAGGAGGAAACAGGTGACTGAGAGAACCCTTCCCTCACACACTTCTAGAAGGAACGCACGCAAAGAACTCAAACGTAAGCTAGGAAGTTGCGTGTGCCGGCAGAGGGGGCAGGAGAGGTGTGCAGGAGGTTTGGGGGGGGGTGACAGGAGTGCTTCCTGGGGGAGGCGGCCTTTGAGCCTCGCCCGGTGTGATCGGGGAGCTGGATCCGGAGCAGCGGGGAGGTGGTGGTGTTGGGCCAAAGCAGGGGTGTGCGACACAGAGGAGGAGGGTCACGGCTGCTCTAAAAGGCCAGCCAGAGCCAGAGTGACAAACTTGAGAAAGACTTAGCGCAGGAAGACCCCGAAGCAGCTTGTGTGCCCACGTCCAGCCGGAGAGGCGGCCCCGGGTACCGTGGTCGCCGCGGGCGTGCGGTGTTCGCATCTCCCCGTCCCGCGCTGTGCACGCTGTGTACTTGTTGTCTGCGTCTTCCTTTTGTTCCAGGCAAGACCCGCAGCAGGAGTCCCTGCAGAGGAGAAATTGGACGCTCGTCGGCTCCAGAAGCACCTATGGTGGGTGCCGCCCGAGACTCTGTTTCCTTAGCGCCCACTGTCCACACGGTGGAAAGGGGGAGCCGGGGGCAGGGGCGGGGGCGCACCCAGGAAACCTCCCCTCGAAGGCTCCGCGTCCTGCTCAGTAAGGTGAGGATGGGAATATCTGTCCTGTCTGCCTTCCTGGGTTTGGGAGATCGGCCCGGGAAGCATTTTCTTTCAGTGTTTATTATTTTTGAGAGAGAGAGAAAGCATGAGCAGGGGAGGGGCAGAGCGAGGGAGGGAGAGAGAATCCCAAGCTCTGTCTCACTAACTGTGAAATCATGATCTGAGCCGAAATCAAGAGTTGGACGCTTAACCCACTGAGCCACCCGGGCATCCGATTCAGTCCAATTCTTATACAGGTTCTTAGCCTGTGAGCGTCAGCCTCTGCATCCCTGAGGGAGTGATGACAGTCATACTACCAGAAGTTTCTGGAGTACACTGTTCTCAGCGCTTTAACACATTCACTCAGTTAAGCTTCACTGTAACCTCGTGAGATGGGTAGTTGCCGTTGTTACCCTTATTTTACGCCTAAGGAAACAGAGGTTCAGAGAGGTGAAGTAACTTGCCCAGAGTCACACAGCTAGTGAGTGTCAGAACTGGACCTCAGACTCAAGCCCCAGAGCCCGTACTCTGTCATGGTCCCCCCTCTGTGACACCGCCGTTGCCGGCCAGCTGAGGAGGCAGCGGGCTGATTTCCTATGAGAGCGCCGCGGGGGTGCCTTCTCATTCCCTGTCCCAAAGCAAGCCCGGTGCCCATCCTGTAACTTCTTCCAGGTCTCACAGTGGTACCGACAGGCCTGGGGCCGCAGTCGGCCGGTCTGAATGGAGCACCCGCCCCGTGCCAGGCACAGTGCTAGGCCCCGGGCACAAAGCGAGGAAGAAAGCTCCCCCCCGGCCCCCAGCAGGGACAGGCCTGTAGGAGTGCTGGGGGGCTGTGCACCGGGGCTGGAGTCAGGGAGGCCTTGTGGAGGAGGTGACATTGACTTACACTGGCAGGTGAGTGGGCGGCAGCGTAGCCAGGCTGAGAGGGCGGGGGAGTGCCGCAAGCAGACACCCAGCACGTGCCAAGGCCCTGGGGCAGAGTGTGGGCAGAGCAGTCTGGTGTGGTGAGAACGCAGCAGGTGAAGGAGGGGCAGGTGAGGGCCAGGGGTCTGCCCTGGGGAGCCACGGAGACTAGCAAATGGGAGTGATGTGTAAACACTTGAAGGTCACCTGCGCTCACAGAGAGTGAATTGGAGCAGGTAGGGGAGGAGGCAGGGAGGTAGGCGCTGTCTCCCACCCTTCACAAGTCAGCTCCGGGCCCCCCTGCTCAGGGCGTTCTTCCCCAGCCACCCTGACAGGTGGTCTTCTGCCGTGGCTCTCACAGCCCCAGTGCTGTCCCTGCCTCGTGGCTCCGTCGCGATGGTGATGTTCACTGGGTGGCGATTATCTCATTCTTGCCTTTCTCCCCCTTTGGCCAGGTTCTATTAGTCTTGGCACAGTTGATGTTTTGGCCTGGGTGACTTCCTGGGGGAGGTGTCCTGTCCACTCTAGGGTGTTGGGCAACATCCTCGCTTCCGCTCACTGGATGCCAGAAGCACCCCCGCCCCCAGTTGTGACAACGAAAGACATGGCCTAGGTGCTTGAGGGGCTCACCCGGTTAGGCGTCCAACTCGTGACCTCAGCTCAGCTCACGATCTCGTGGTTCATGGGTTTGAGCCCTGCACCAGGCTCTGTGCTGACAGTGGGGAGCCTGCTTGAGATTCTCTCTCTCTGTTCCTCCCCTGCCCTCTCTCTCTGCCCTTCCCCTGCCCCCCTTCAAAATCAGTAAATAAACCTAAAAAAAAAAAAAAGACACAGCCAGATGTCCCCGGGGGCCCAAGTGGCCCCTGGCTGAGCACCACTGCCTGGCAGGTTGAGCTCGGGATGTGCAAAGGGGAAGTTTGTTGCCATTGCCATTTCAAAGCTCTAACGAGCTGACTTCTTCCAGGATTATGGCAGGAAAAGTGAAATGGGTCACTGATATCGAGAAGTCGGTGCTGATAAATAACTTTGAAAAGAGAGGATGGATCCAAGTGACAGAAAACGAGGATTGGAACTTTTACTGGTAAGTATAAAAAGCTGGATTTGGTTGTTTTTCCAAAGCCTACTTACTTTTTTATAATGTTTATCGTTATTTATTTTTGAGAGAGCAAGTGTGCACACATGTGCATGGGGGAGAGACACAGAGGGAGCGAGAGAATCCCAAGCCGGCTGCACGCTGTCAGCGCAGAGCCCGACCGTGGGGCTCCATCTCACAGACCGTGAGATCATGACCTGAGCGGAAATAACTGAGCCACGCAGGCGCCCCTGAAGCCTGCTTACCAGGCCCGTGAATGGAGGGAGCCCAGGCGTGGGCTGTGTTCTTGGAGGGGCCCCCCCCAAGCCTCCCCCATCCCAAGGCTCCTTGGGAGCACACATTGCTAATCCCTTGGGGGGCTGGGTGAGAAGCCAGAGCCCCCCCTGGTGGTGTTCTCCATCAGTGCCCCACTGCCCAGTGCTGGGGGAGGGGCCCGTGGGGGCGGGGGGCTCCTTTGCTTGCTGTCACAGGGCAGAGGGCACTAGGTGGACTGCTCGACAACTGAAAAGCGAGGGAGACGAGGAACGGGAAAGCCGCGTCTGGCGTGGACTCCCTGGCGGTGCTCCACCCAGCCGGAAACCTGGGAGCTGCCCCAGCCTCCAGGCCCTGCCCTGCCTTCCTCTCTTCATGGGCCGAGGTCCTGTGTCCTCCCTTGTCCGGGCCTGGTGTGCCCCCCGCCGCAGGCCAGCCCCCACCCTGTGGCAGGGCTGTACGCACGAACACAGATCCATGGTCTGTACGCAGCTCCTGGGCGCGGAGCACTGGGCGAACCTTCGAGGGAGGGGAGCTGCTGGGTCTCTGAACCCCTCGGCACGACCCCCCCACCCGAGACCCACTCCCTGCTGCTGCCTCGAGCTCTGTTACTTGGCCTCTTTCCAGCCACTTCCTTCTCCCCCACGCCCCAGTGCAGCACCGCCGCGTGCCGGGATTTGGGATTCCCCTGCCTGTCCCCTCTTTTCCGCGTTACTGGGAACCCCGTGACAGCGGGGATCTCGTCTGGCTTCTCCCAGCATCCCTGAGCCTGGCCCTGGCCCTGGGGTGGTGCGGACCGGCAGCCAGCTTCCATCTCCAGCATTGACTGGGGGGGTGGCCCTTTCCGTGCACCTCTAGTTGAAGAAACCTGTGCTTTAAACCACAACCTCATTTCCCCGGGGGAGTGTGAGGTACAGACAGGGAGAGTGCTGATGGAGAAACGCAGCCCCTGTGTGTGATTCAGGTTTATATTCTCGAAGAAGGTAGAACGAAATAACATAGCCAGAGCCCTGCATCATGAAAGAAGGGCCGGATAAGAGTGTTTCGTACTTACCGCTCTGGATCCCGGGGCTCTGTGCCCTGGGTTTAGTACTGGAAACAACTAAGTGTCACATGGTTAGGAAAAGGTAACCACATTAACCAAGCGGGTTATGGTGGAGCCCTTAAAATAACTAGGAAGATTCTAAAGCAATCTGGAAAATTGCATAACAATAAGCCTGAAGAAAAACACATTCTGAAACTATCTGTGTTCTGATCACAGCTTTGTGTGTAGGGCAGGAAGCAGGAGCTCAGAAAACACGAAGGTCAGGGCTGTGCTAGAGGGGTGTGTTAATTACCTGCTGCCAAAGTGATGGTGTGTAACAAACCCCACGGAATTTAGGGCTCGAAACAACCGTCGTTGCAGCGTGCGTATTTGTGGGTTTGGCTGGGTGGTTCTTTTGGTCCAGCAGCACTTAGCTGATCCTGCCTGGGCATCCCCTGCTGTCCCCTGGGGGTCCCACTGGGGCTTGTCTGGTCTTGGATGCCCTTGGCCAGGACAGCAGCGGCTTCTCACCACAGATCTCTCCCGTCCCTCCAGCCAGCTGGCTTGGGCTTGTTCTCCTGGGGTGGCCGGGGTCCAGGAGGGAGGGAGAAGCTCTCAAGGCCTCTCAGCGCGAGTCTCAGGAGCGGCACGCCATCACTTCTGCCTCGTTTTTGGCCAAAGCAGAGCCACAGGGAGGCGTGGCCTTAAGAATCTAGCAGCTGGCACTTCCTTTGCGGGAACGCTCTGTGGGAGCCCCGAGCTGCCGTGAGAGAAGCCTGGCTCCCTGGGCCTCTCTCACCGGAGGAACTGCACTGCGTGTGATCGTTACAGCTACCCCTGGCCGTCTAGTGTGCCCACCAAGGTGCCAGACGCACGAAGGCACCTTCTTGGACCCTCCAGATGGGATCGTGCGCTGGCTGAATACCCCGGTGACCTCAGTCAGTGCCTCACAGGGCAGAAGCAGCTTGCCTGAGCTGTGCCCAAAATCTTGATCCACTGCGGCACCCTGGAGCATCTGACTTTGGCTCAGGTCATGATCAGGTCATGATCTTGTGGTTTGTGGGTTCGAGCCCCATGCTGGGCTCTGCACTGACAGCTCGGAGCCTCCTTGGGATTTTCTTTCTTGTTCCTCCTTCCTCTGTCTCTTCCCTGCTTACGCATACTCTCTCTCTCTCTCTCAATAAATAGATTAAAAAATTAAACAAATTTTTTTGATCCACAAAACCACGAGATCTTATCCAGTTGCTAACACCAGGCACCTTGCTTTGCAGTAATAGGAACCTCGTCACACCCCTGAGAGAGTAAAGAACCAGCTCATTATTTTGAAAACCAATAATAAAGGGCAAGAATCAAGCTTTTAGTTAGTCTTTCCCGTATGAACTATGTTGTGGGGCATCCAGATTGTCATTGAAGGGACATTTCTCTTTGTAAAAGTATTCCTGCAAACACACGAAGAAGAAATGCAAGCAGAGAATATACCATCTTGCCTCCCCTAATGATGGAAGGGTCTAGGCCCGCCCAGTGTGGGAGCCGCTAACCTCGGGGCCGGCGAGCACTTCACCGTGGCCGGCCCAGTTGTGGCCGACGTGGCCAACATGGCTGATGTGGACCTGCAGCCTCCCGGGTCTGACGGGTTTGCTGTCAGCCCCCTGACTCAGAGGTGGCATGGGAACCAGGAGAGCTGTGCTAAGCGTGTGAGGACCTAGAAGACACAAGTGGCCTGGGATCTCCCACAAGCAGATGGCAGAGGAAAAAAGAAAGAAGGGAGGCCGTAGGTTAAAAGAGCCGTGGGAGAGAGAACAGCTCATCAGAAGGCCTGGCCCTTATCTGCACACGCTCTAAAAATACTTACCAGACAGCTTGGGAAATGTGAACACTGATTAATATTTGGCAATACTCAGAAATCACTGCTGCTTGTTTTCAGTTGTGACAACAGTATGAAGTAGGATATCGTATAATAAGGAGTCCGTAACTGTTAGACAGTCTTGCAGGAGTATCTTAGATGGAATATCATGTGTGGGAATTGCTTCCAAATAAGCCAGTGCCGTGGGGCACAGGTGGGTACAATCAAGGCGAGATTAGGTGCCTGGTCGCAGCCCCTAAAGTGAGCGATGGGTTCTCTTATGCTTTCCTCTCTGCGTTTGCGTGTGGTTGAGCTCTTCCATAATGAAAAGTTTAGAAACTCCCCCGTTATTCTAATGATCACAGAATCAAAAGAGACCCTTTGGGTGCTCGGGGCCCTCCGTAGGTTGGCATCCGGGGTGGGGTGGGGGACTAGAGTGAGAAGCTATGCCAGCCTGCCTTGCATGTGGCTCCCTTGTGAGTGTGGTCCTTCCTTCTTGCTCCCTCCCTGCCCATCTGAGGGGCTAGAAGTGTGGAGGGGTGTGTCAGAGAGGCTGGGTTTCTTAGAGGATTAGAGGCAATCAATTTCTTTTTCTTTTTCTTTTTTTTTTTTAACTGTTTTTTAAAATTTATTTCTGAGAGAGAGAGAGAGGGAGACAGCGTGAGCAGTGGAGGATCAGAGAGAGAGGGAGACACAGAATCTGAAACAGGCTCCAGGCTCTGAGCTGTCAGCACAGAGCCCAACGCGGGGCTCGAACCCCCGAACCGTGAGATCATGACCTGAGCTGAAGTCGGACGCTTAACCGACTGAGCCACCAGGCGCCCCACAATTTTTCAACCGTCCTTATTTAGTAGGTTGCTGGCCCATCATAGGTCTCTGCAATAATAGGAAGCATGGACCCAGAGCCCTTAAATAACCCTGTGATTTTTTTTTTTTAAGTGTATTTATTTTCAGATAGAGACAATGCAACTGGGGTAGGAACAGAGAGAGAGGGACAGAGAATCCTGAACAGACTCTGCACTGTCAGCGCGGAGCCTGATGCAGGGCTCAAACCCATGAACCGTGAAATCATGACCCGAGCTGAAACCAAGAGTCCAGTGCTGCCCCGACTGAGCCACGGCCCGGGCGCCCCAGGCCTGTGATTTTGGCTTAAAGCGGTCCGTGTGCTTCTTGCCTTTGGGTGCAAATATTGTGTAAATGATTTTCCTAATTTCAGAGTCTGGAGGAGGCTGTCTTTCACTAGTTTGTTACCAGCAGTCACTGGTATCATTCATTACTCGGTAAGCATTTATTGAGGATCTCTGTGCCGGGGAGTGAAACTGTCCACTGTAAGACAGACTCAGAACAGCTCCTGCCTCAGTTCAGGTTCAGGTCATGGCTGGCCACTGGACACCCCCCGCCCCCCGCCCTGTGCTGCTGTGGCCTGGGCAGCTCTGGGCCCGGGTGCCGTGAGTGGGAGAACAGGAGAGCCTTCTGGTCGCGAGCTTTAATAACTGCCACCACGTGGACCGAGCTGAGCTTCCGCCCAGCATGTCCCTTCTGCTCCTCTTTTAGGATGAGTGTGCAAACCATCCGAAATGTGTTTAGCGTGGAAACGGGCTATCGGCTCTCCGACGATCAGATCGTCAACCATTTCCCGAACCACTATGAACTGACCCGGAAGGATCTGATGGTGAAGAATATTAAAAGATACAGGAAGGAGCTGGAGAAAGAAGGGAGTCCTCTGGCAGAAAAAGATGAAAACGGGAAATACCTCTATCTGGGTTTGTGCCTTTTTCGCCGCGCGCGTGTGTTAAATGAATCCTCGAGTCCCTTAGTAACACGAGGTACCGGGATGGTGACTCTTGGCTCTGGTGGGTGAATGGGTTCGTGCCGGCTGTGGCAGGCGCCTGTCTCATTCCACGCGTCTCTGGGATGGGCAGGCTGGGGCTCACGTTGAGATCTGAGTTTTCAGGGGTCCTTTGAGAATGTGGTACTTGAGGGGGAGGGGGTGTCCTCAGTGTGCAGATGGGAAGACACGGCCTGAGCTGCAAGCTGCATTTTGTAATGCACGGTCATTACTGCATCTGGCCGTTCCCGTGGAGAACGGTGTGTCCCTTTTCTATCTGGTGGTAACAGCTGGGCTGGTGGATAGTTTCAGAATCCCTTTACATACCTGTGAACAATTATATAACCCATCTCTCAGGGCCTCAGTGTCCTCATCTGATAAATGGGAATGTTAACAGGTTGCTGTGGGCATTACAGGTTCCTAAAGTGCTTAGTACACAGGCAGTAAGGTTATTGTACAGGAACTAAATGGCACAGGGCCTTGATCTTTAGACACTGGCTTGGGGTGGGGGGCAAGGGGGCATGAAGCAGCCTCCAAAAAGGTGGTGGCGGTGTTTTTCTGCCCGTGGCCGATGTTGGGCCAGCTCGCCTGCCATTGTCCCGCCTTTTTCTCCTTTCAGACTTCGTTCCGGTCACCTACATGCTGCCTGCGGACTACAACCTGTTCGTGGAGGAGTTCAGGAAAAGCCCCTCCAGCACCTGGATCATGAAGCCTTGTGGCAAAGCCCAGGGCAAGGGCATCTTTCTGATCAACAAGCTCTCGCAGATCAAAAAGTGGTCCCGGGACAGCAAAACATCTTCGTGAGTGCACCCACTTAGTATCAGGGCTGGGGTGCATGGGTCTTGATCCCCGTCCATATCCACTGTCATTGTGAGTGCACCTGCTTAGGATCAGGGCTGGGGTGCGCGGGTCTGGATCCCTGTCCACACCCACTGTCATCGTGAGTGCACCTGCTTAGGATCAGGGCCCAAGGTGCGCGGGTCTGGATCCCCATCCACACTCACCGTCATCATGAATTCACCCGCTTAGGATCAGGGCTGGGGTGCACGGGTCTGGATCCCTGTCCACACCCACCGTCTTTGTGAGTTCACTTGCTTAGGATCAGGGCCCGGGTTGCACAGGTCTGGATCCCCATCCACACCCACTGTCATCATGAGTTCGCCCACGTGGGATCAGGGCCAGGATGTGTAGGTCTGGATCCCCGTCTGTGCCCACTGTCTTCATGAGTGCACCTGCTTAGGATCAGGGCCCAAAGTGTGTGGGTCTGGATCCCCGTCTACACCCACCGTCGGAGTACCTTTTGTTTGTAGACTCTTACACACTTTATCTGGGTAAACTGAGGCCAGTAGCACCACCCTCACGGGGGCAGGACGGGGGTGAGACAGGTGAACGTAGGTGTATCTGTGACCGGTGGCAGGGATAGTGCAAGCCCACATCGGGCCAGGCGGTTTTGTCTGGGGCTCGCCGTGCGTCTGCGGGTCCCGAACTGCACAGAGATGCTGGGTGTGGGTCTCTCCTGGTGGCCTGGTGGCTTGCAGTTCCCGGGAGCGGAGGGTCCCCTTCTCCCTGGCGGGTTCCCCGGGGTCCACAGCACTGTCCTCTGGGGCAGGGGCTCGGGCCTGGGGGCTCCTTCATGGATGCCACCTCCCCCCCCATCTTCTCCCCGACACACCAACCTTTGGGCCCTGCCTTCTAATTTTGACCGTGTCTGCCGCCCTCAGGTTTGTGGCCCAGCCCAGTAAGGAGGCCTACGTGATCTCCCTGTACATTAACAACCCGCTGCTGATCGGCGGCAGGAAGTTTGACCTGCGCTTATACGTGCTGGTGTCGACGTATCGCCCGCTGCGCTGTTACATGTGAGAGTCGCTGGGCTTCTGTCCTCACGAGACGCAGCCCTTCAGGGACAACGTACATTAGTGGCTTGGGGAGTGGCTGCTGGCCGTCACAGGGTTTCTCGATGGTGGCGATGGTCCCGCAAATCCGGGCGCACCAGGGACCACGGCATCCTGCACTTTAGGTGGGGGAGTCCTGCGGCATAGGATTGTATCTTAGTAGGAGCGCTCTCAGAAAAGAGCCATGAAACATGAAAAAGCAGCTCCTTTAAAGGCCTAAGTCAAAATGCAGCTCTTTTTTAACTGTTTAAAAAAAATTTTTTTTTTAATTTTTTTATTTATTTCTAGGAGAGAGAGAGACAGCATGAGCAGGGGAGGGTCAGAGAGAGAGGCAGATACAGACTCTGAAATAGGCTCCAGGCTCCGAGCTGGCAGTCAGCACAGACCCCGACGCGGGGTTCAAACCCACGAACCGCGAGATCATGACCTAAGTGAAAGTCGGACGCTTAACCGACTAGGCCACCCAGGCGGCCCTGTTTAAAAAATTTTTAATGTTTATTTTTGAGAGAAAAAGAGAGACAGAGGGTGAGCGGGGGAGGGGCAGAGAGAGAGGGAGACCCAGAATCTGAAGCAGGTTCCAGGCTCCAAGCTGTCCGCACAGAGCCTGACACGGGGCTCGAACCCACGAACCGTGAGATCTTGGCCTGAGCTGAGGTTGGACGCCCAACCGCCCCCCCGGGCTCCCGACGAGGTGGTTCTTGTGAGAGAGCGGTGTCGCGTCTTGTCTCTGCGCCTCCTCGGAGCGCTGACGGGGTCTGAATCCCACGCAGGTACAAACTTGGGTTCTGCCGCTTCTGCACGGTGAAGTACACGCCCAGCACCAGCGAGCTGGACAACATGTTTGTTCATCTCACCAACGTCGCCATCCAGAAGCACGGGGTGAGTGCGTCCTTTCACTGGCGCTCGCGGAGACGCGCGCTTTTGCGGGCTCTTCTCTCTTTCTCTCCGTGGGCGTGGGCGGGGCGGGTCGGGGCACCGGATCCCAGACGCCCTGACACTCGTGAGCAGTGGGAGCTTTAAGTATCTGGCGCGTCAGCCTTTCTGGTCCCGTGGCCTTGGGCATGCTAACTGGGACCCTCGGAGCCTCGGTTTCTCCGTTTGTGAAAGGAGATCCTGTTCCTCCCTCGTGGGAGCGGCGGGAGGGCTCACGCGTGCCCGTCGTTCAGCAGATCTCTCACCGAGCACCTGTCTGGGTTGGTGTCGCGCCGAGTGCGGGGCTGGGTCGGTGGTCCCTGCTCACGGAGCCTGGGCCCGTAGATTGTGTGGCATCACAGCCCGAGCTGCGTGCTCTGAGCTGGGGACGCAGATCGGGAAGAGCACGGACTGGAGGACTCCCTGGTCCAGGTGGCCGGGGAAGGCTTCGTGCAGAAATGTTCGAGCAGAGACCTGAAGTATGAGCGGGGGCTACCCGGGCGGAGGTGGGGAAAGAACGTTCTAGCAGAGGGTGTGGCGTGTGCCGGGGCCCCGTGGCAGGAAGGGGCGTTGCAGGGGCTGAGAGAAGGCGAGGGTGGCTGGAGACCCCGGGGTGAAGGTGGTGGAGTGAGAGGGACCGGGTGAGGCCAGCGAGGCCGGGACACGGGACCTTGTCGGTTCTGTGTGGGCTGTGGGGCTTTTGGCCGGTCCTCACAAAAATGTTCCGAAGGTCTCATTTCTTTAGGAAAGGCTCTTGTGTTTGGATCTTGCCTGATTGGAGGCTTTCAGTATCCTGGTCCTTTTTGTATCATTTGAGTGGAAAGAGGGTAAGCGTTGGTGGAAAACAACCTTCTTTTTTTTTTTTTTTTTTTTTAAAGTTTATGTTTTTAGTAATCTCTAACGCCCAGTGTGGGGCTCACATGACCCCAAAATTAATAGTTGTGTGCTCTTGGGGAGCCCGGGTGGCTTAGGCGGTTAAGCGTCCAACTTCAGCTCAGGTCATGATCTCACAGTTTGTGGGCTCAAGCCCCACATTGGGCTCTGTGCTGACGGCTCAGAGCCTGGAGCCTGTTTCAGATCCTGTGTCTCCCTCTCTCTCTGCGCCTCCCCCACTCACACTCTGTCTCTCTCTCTCACAAAAATAAATAAACATTAAAAAAAAAAAGTCGCATGTTCTTCCGAGTGAGCCAGCCAGATGTCCCAAAATCAAAGTAACCCAGGTTACTTCTCTGAGTAACCTCCTGAAGGGTGCAGTCGGAGCAGCATGGGCTCAGTCCCTTGTCCACTGTCTCCCTCTGTGTGGCTTGGGCAAGTCACCGGCCTCCCTGGGCCTCGTCTGCAAACAGGAGCCCTGGTATTACCTTGCTGGTCATGAAATGACAATAGCCACCCTTTACTGAGGGCCTTGATGGTCTGTGTGAGGCCGGCCCTGCCTCACTGTCCCTCAGGTTTCCCCGATAGCAAATTTGTGAGCATCACTGCTGGATGGTCAAGGTCAGAGGAGAAAGGATGGCTTGGCCAGAGCTTTATTCAGAAGAATTGGGAAAATGGAGATGCCTGGCTGGCTCAGTCAGTGGAGCGTGCAACTCTTGATCTCTGGGTTGTAAGTTCGAGCCCCATGTTGGGTGTAGAGATCACTTAAAAAGTAAAATCTTAAAAAAAATAAATAAATTGGGAAAATGAGCTTTCAGGGGACGCAGCCCCAAACTTAGCAGCCGCTTGGGGAAAGCTGAGCAATGACATCAGGCCTTTGTAGCCCAAGTAGCACGGTTCGTGAGACCTGGGCGTGGGTGGGAAATGCCAGTGACAGGCCTCGAGTCCACGTGGTGGCTCTGAGGACAGTGCAGACTGTGTTGGCCTCTCGGAAATTGGGAGGGCTCCGTTTGATGGGCCTTCTCGGGACACCAGTCAGCTGAGTCACCGCTGCATCAATAAGAAACGGAAATCTTTTTTTTTTTTTTTTTTTAATCTGTGGAAGGAGAGAGCAGAAGGCAGGACCTTAGCTTGGCATCTCTGCAGTGTTCCAGAAGCCTCTGTGCTGTCCCTCTCGGTTCTGTTTGTAAATGCTTCGCTCTTTAATGTGAGAAAGGCCTTCCTCTGAGAAAACTACCTTGCTAGCAGCCTCATGTGGCTCTAATTTGGAACTGCATGAAGGATGGATGTGACCCTGGACGCTGAAATGTCAGGCAGTCTGTGACTGCATCTACCCAGTGTCCCTGGGTGCAAAGCACAGCCCGACCCCCCAGACAGAGATGCCGACGGGGTCTCCCTGCCCTCAGGAATCTCAGAGACCTGCAGGGGAAGCAGAGCACAAAAGACTGATGATAAGGGGGGCCGCAGGGGCGGGGGGCAGGAGGGGGGCATCAGGAGGCGGGGCCAATCCAGTGGGGCCGAGAAGGGGATGGAAAATCAGGGGTGCATCCCAGCATGCGCAGTGTTCGCAGATTGATTTGCTGAAGGGTCTTGGAGTAAATCTGATAAAGTCCAAACAGCAGGAGACCTTTCCTTGCTTTTTAAGTCTGTGCTTATGTGAGACGGCGTTTTCCCGCATGTACTGTCTATGTCTAGAATCTTCTCTCTTTAGTAAACTTTTCTTGCTAGTGAAGAGAATCTGTCACTGAAAAAGAAGGGTGTGGGTGGGCAGGTAGCCTCCAAAAGAGAGCAGTGGGTAGAGATGTAATGTTTTGGGAAAGAGAAATAGAGCGAACTTGGGGGCGGGGATGGGTTAGGAAGGCCAGGCTCGGGTCCCAGCTCCTCACCGCCTGCGCAGAAGCCCAGGTGGCCCGGGCAAGCTTCCTGAGCCCGAGCCCTCTTGCCTGAGGTTGGGACGTTGTGAGGAGCGGCGCGGGTGGTGCTCTTGGACCACGTGCCTGGCACCGACCGGCCCCTCGCGGGCTGGCTTCTCTGGAAGCGGACTCGGAGCAGAAATGAGTGCACAGGGGTTTGCTGGGGCAGCGTGGAGAGGGAAGGGGGTGCAGACAGGGCAGAGGGAGGGTCAAGCCCGGGTGCCACTGCAGCACAGACCCGCATTCCCTGGCATCAGCCCGTCCCGGGCTACAGGCCGCCGGGCCAGGCATGACCTTGAACTGCTCTGCCCTCATTAGCCAAGGGCGGCTCCCAGAGAAGGTCTCCACCAGAACAGTGAGGAGGGGGTTCTGGGCGGCACCCTCAACACACACTGCAGGCTATGAATTGCTAGTTGTGAGTGAACTACAGAGGTGGGGTTTTTTTTTTTTTTAAGTTTATTTTGATAGAGAACACAAGTGGGGGGGGGGGGGGAGAGAGAGAGAGAGAGAAAGAATCCCAAGCAGATTCTGCACTGTCAGCACAGAGCCTGATACGGGGCTCAAACTCACGAAATGTGAGATCATGACCTGAGCCGTAACCAAGAGTCGGACACTCAAACGACTGAGCCGCCCTCCCCACCCCCCGGTACCCAGACGTGGGTATTTTAAAACAAGGCCGTACAGGAGGTCCGGGTCCTCGAGAGGCAGGAGCACCCAGCACCGCCCTAGGGGAGAGGGCAGGTGCCGAGCTCCTCGGGTGCATTGCCTGGGCCGTGCCCTTTCCCGTCGCCAGGAGGACTACAACCACATCCACGGGGGCAAGTGGACGGTGAGCAACCTGCGGCTGTACTTGGAGAGCACCCGGGGCAAGGAGGTGACCGGCAAGCTGTTCGACGAGATCCACTGGATCATCGTGCAGTCGCTGAAGGCCGTGGCGGTGAGTGCGGGAGGGGGGCGGGCCTGTGGGCCATGGGGCGGGCCTGCGAGCCACCGAGGTGGGTGCTTGTTCTTTGGCGACAGATGCCTCTCGTCTTTACGGGCCCACCTCCCGCATGGCAACGTGTCTGCCAGAGGCCGGCTTCCGGCCGGGTGCCGCCCGGGGCGCACCGGGTGCTGGGCCTTCCGTGGCAGCCGCCGGCCCGGCCGCGTCCTGCTGGCGTCACCAGCAGCCCGTCCGTGCCATTGGATGCAGGAGGCACGTCTTGGCGGGAGCCGCTGGCCGGAGGTGGACTCGCGGCAGCCTCCTCAAGTTTAGGCCTCGCGCTCTGTGGGGTCACGGACACCCGGTGCTCGAAACCCACCTCTGTTGCCTCAAGTCGGCTCCTGGTTGACTGGTTTGCGGTTCCTGTTTGTGTTGCTTGGCTGTTGCAGAGCAGGGGTGCAGCCATTTCTGAGGGAAGGGAAAGGAATAAAGAGAAGGCCCCAGCGCGTGGGCCGCCGTCCGTCCTCAGAGCTTCGCGCGCGGGCCCCCCCGATGCCCATCACCCCGTCACTCAGAAGCAAACCGGAGGCCCAGCCCTGGCGGGGAGGCGCGGGGACAGGCGGTGGGGCCCAGGCCTGCCCAGCGGGCTCCCAGCACACAGGCCCACTGGGTGTGGCACCTGAGGGCACTTGGCCTGGCCCGGACAGCAGGCGGCCGGTACCGTGGAGAGCGTATGCCCAGCCCCGCAGCCTCGGAGGCCTTCTCTGCGAACTCGGGAGGCCGTGGGGTGGGGGGTGGGGGAGTTAGCAACTTCCTGTCCTGCACAGGCTGCTGGGACGGGTGTGGGCAGTGGCCGGGGTGGGACCCCAGGCTCTCTGGGGAGATGTAGGTCCTGACTCCCCTGGAAAAACAGCCCCTCCCCCCCACCCCCCCGGCCTGGTTTTCCTGCAGTGGCTGAGGCTGGACTGGCCTGTCTCCCCCTCGGGAGTTTCCGGTTCTAGATCCAGTGTGTGAAGTAGAGTCCACGTACCCACTAATGTACAAAAAGGCCTCACTGCTCTGTGGGGGGCTTCACTCACTGTGGGTGCACCAGGGTCCCCAGGGTGTGTGTGACGTGGCTGCTTGCTGGCCCCTCCCATGGGTTTTCATCCAGGCAGCCTCGGCAGGGCCTGGGGACCTGCATTGTAAGCGAGCAGCTGGCAGGGTTTTCTATGCACTTGGAGAAGAGTTTATAAAGTGGAATTGAAAATTCAAAAGAGGGGCACCTGGGGGGCTCAGTTGGTTAAGCATCCCACTTCCGCTCAGCTCATGATCTCTCAGCTCGAGAGTTCGAGCCCCATGTCAGGATCTATGCTGGCAGCTCAGAGCCTGGAGCCTGCTTCAGATTCTGTGTCTCCCGCTCTCTCTGCCCCTCCCCTGCTCGTGCTCTCTATCTCAAAAATATATAAATATTTAAAAAAAAATTAAAAAAGAAAATTTCCAAATTTTTAGTGAACAGATCAGCTTGTCACAGAGAACAGAGGTTCATAACCTGGCACCCCACATCCCTAAGGGCCCAGGAAGGGCCTAGCAGCCTGGTGGCCAGTGTCTGTGACGAGGTTGCACAGGCCAGGACTCTGGGGCTGGGCTTCTGTCCGCTCTGAGGACAGTCCCTGCTGACAGAGATGTTGCTTTGATCAAGCCTCTGATGAGCGGGACCCGGAGACCCTGGTGATCGCTCGTGAAGTGCCCTCAGAGGCTGAGGGACGTTTCTGAGTCTGGGCCCTGTGGGAGGAGCTGGGGAAGGCTGGGGGACGGCGCTGGGGGTCGCGGTGGGAGTGCGGACCTTGGCGGTGAGTCCCCGCACGTCGTCAGGCCCGAGGAGGTCCTGCCACTTGGCCCACCGCGTGTCCGGGGCAGTGGTGGCAGCCGGGCCCCCCTGAGGCTGTCCGCACAGGCCTCTGGTCCTGTCTTGCAGCCGGTGATGAACAACGACAAGCACTGCTTCGAGTGCTACGGCTACGACATCATCATCGACGACAAGCTGAAGCCCTGGCTGATTGAGGTAACCGTTGCAGGGGCGTGTGTGGCCTGTCGCCTCCCTCCCCCCCCCCCCCCCCCCCCCCGCCAGGCTCGTCAGGCACCCGGCCTTGCATCTCTTAGGCCCAGCGGCGGGACTGGGGGACACAGGGCCCTGTAACGTGACCGTGACTGGGACAGATGTGCAGGTTGGACAGGTTTGCCAATGGCAGAAAGTAAGCTCCTGGATCTGCCCCCTCGGAGCCCAGCCCGAGAGCGGGAGCCGGCTTCCCCCTTCCTGAAGGGCTCCGTACTGCGGAGCCCCAGTGCCCCGGAGGCCCTGGCCTGTCCTCGTGGGGACATTGTTCCCATTCGGGAAAGGAGCTCCCCAACCGGGAAGCCGGCAGGAAGCGGTTGCACACTTGTCCAGAGGTAAGGAGTGTTCTCTTCCCATGAAGGCCAAGTTTTGGACTGGATTCATCTGCCTGTTTCAAGGCATAGAGGCGATGTAGCAGTGGCTGTTCTAGAAAGGGCAAGGTGCACACACCCATTTCCCCGTGACAGGCCTGGGTGACGCCGGCCTCAGCGGCGCTGGGTGCTGGCACCTGTCCAAGGCTCAGATGTGGAGCCCACCTTGCTGGGGTTCCCTGCTTTGCTCTGCAGCCGATAGAGAAGCCTGCGCCTCAGGGGACACAGAGTTGGACCATGAAAACGAAGGCCATCTGTTCCGGTGATTCGTCTCCCTGTGTGCCTCTGAGCACCGGGTCTCGTCACCGCTCTCCCTTGGAAGGGGACGGCACAGGCCCTTTAGCTCAGTCCTATTTTGAGCCAGGAAAACGGAGGGAGGGGTCATGAGTGGCCCCTTGTGGGGGAATTCAGTGGGAGCTGCCCCTGCAGGAAGGTGCTGGAAGAGCCAGGTTGTCCGAGAGCAAACTTCCAAACCGCATTCCCTGGTTACTTCTTTCCCGGGGTACTTCTCACGCTGCCCGAATCACGCGGGCACAGAGATATACACGGGTACACAGAGCGATCGACGGGCACGTGTATAAAATATTAACGTGCTCTGTTTTTCTACGTTAGGAGTTCAGTGCGCTGGCCGTTGTGCTACAGAGCCCCTATTTCCATTTTAAACCGAGTCATTTGAATGGAAGTCAAGCTTTCCTTGATGAGCTAGGGCCTTAATTGTGAATATGACGAACACTCCTTCTAACATAATAACAGGTCTTCATCGGAGTCTGTTTATGATCGTTGGGGCATCATGACATGCTACAGTAGTAATTTAAAGGGCGCCTGAGGTTCACGCAGCCCCTTTTGGCGTAGACGTTAGGTGCCCTCCTGGCAGCACCAGGGCTGACCCGAATGACTTGGAGGGTTTTGCCTCCACGCTGCCATGGTCTGGGGAAGCAGTGGGCCAAGGTCATTACGGCCGTGCCTAAAGCAGAGTAGACGGGTGGTGACTAGGGCTCTGTGGGACTGTCTGCACAGTAGATGCGTTTTCACCTGTGGACTTTTGACACTGCTGAGCCCCCCAGATGCCTTGTGGGACTAACCTTCCGTTTATCAGATAGCTTCCTCATTTGTCAGAAGTTCGCTTCATTGGTGAGGTATTACTCTCTTCCCCAAAAAGGGGCCCACTGGGGATGCCTGGATGGCCCAGTCGTGGAGCATGCAACTCTTGATCTCAGGGTCGTGAGTTCGAGACCCATGTTGGGTGTAGAGATTGCTTAAAAGTTGGGGGGGGGGGCATTACTTTTATTTCAACCCCACCATGCTACTTGGTTGGGGTCATCGGGTTCGCTGATTCTAGGAAAGGTCTGAGGGACTTCCTGTACCTGGGACAGAGCATCTACCTGGGGAGGGTCTACACAGGTCAACACAAGTCAGGTTTATGATCTATGTTCACGTAACGGTTTTATTCGCGGGCTGCGTGACTTGTAGGTCGTAATCCCAACCCACGTTTGACTTTGATATTTCATCTAATCGCTGATGAAGGTAGATCCCAAAACACGTCCTATACAAGGTGCCCCATGATAGTAGGTATTAATGGTATGAAATGACAATTTTACCTAAAACGCGTGGTGGCCAGCATTTTCCTTTGCAGCGCGTGTTCTCATGCCGGAGGAGCCGGTGATCCGAGTGACGAGTGTGATTCCTGTCCTCTCGTAGGTGAACGCGTCCCCGTCCCTCACTTCCAGCACCGCCAATGACCGAATCCTTAAGTATAACCTGATCAATGACACCCTCAATATCGCGGTCCCTAACGGTGAGATTCCCGACTGCAAATGGAACAAGTCCCCCCCGAAGGAAGTTCTCGGCAATTACGAAATTCTGTAAGTCTGTGTGCAGACCGGGCATCGGTCCTTGTGTGTGTCAGATGGAAGGGCGCCAAGGCCCCGCTTGGGTTTTCTGGTTGTGTGTGGACTTGCCTTGTTGGGGCCGAGTGTTTCATTTACTAATGATGTTACGGGATAGATCATGTTGTAGCAGAAAAACAGGTATTAAACTAGGACTTTGTCTAGGCCTTTTGCTTGATAATTATTAACAAAGCCGCTGGGGCAGGTGGGAACAGGAGAGCTCTGTGGCTTACCTTCTCCCAGGCCGCCGCAGGGCACAGGGCCCGGCTCACGCCCTGGAGCTGTATGACATTGAGGAACTCTCTGGAACTCTTTAGCCTCAGTTTGTACACCTTTTGAGCGGGGCTATCGTACAGAGTTGGGAAGACAAGAAATGGTAAAACAGCAGCGGGCAGTTGGGGGCTGACCACGAGCCGGAAACTGCTGAGCACTTTCGTCGTGTGTTACCAGCTTTGTGCCCCGACAGCCTTCTGCGGACAGGAGTGTCGTTAGCTCCCCTGAGGCCCGCGGAAACTAAGGGTTAGGGAGGAAAGTGGCCCATTGGCGGTGACAAAAAGTGGGAGCAGCGGGAGAGGCCGTCCGGAGGGCAGTGGACACGTGAATCACCGTTCGTTCAGACCGCGGGTGGTGGGTGGCCATGGAAACGTGGCCCAGGAGCTGTGCTGTGGGGCCTGGGACGCCGAGGGAGCAAAGGGCGCGTCGCAGAATCCTTGTAAAACAGGCAGCGGCCTTGGTGTGGACGTACCTCGATGTGTGCAGCTGCTTCCGTGAGGCGCGAGCAGGGAAATGTGGAGGGCCGCACCCCGGCCCGTCCGCATGGACGCTGCTGCCACGGGCCTCGAGGGGTGGAAGGGAACTGGAGACAAGGGGGACATCGCGTCCCGTCCTGGAAGGGGAGTGCGGGTGGGGATCACGTTGTGTTTCTGTGAAAGTAAAAGTGTGTGTTTAACATTTCAAGAGAACAGAGGATAGAAACGTGTGGTGAACTTCACACGACCCAAGGTCCCATGCCCACGGCTGGTGGCGTAGTTGGCGTGGGGGCTCGGACCGCAGAGCCTGTGCCGTGCGTGGTGTTGATGATGTGCGTGAGCTACAGGGGAGGGTGGAAGGCCAGCTCCAAGGAGAGGTGCGTGGAGCCTCCGGGCGGTGGAGGTGAGCTTCAAGTGCAACCGCTCAGCGCCGTTGACTGTTTTCTCCAGCCACGGTCAGCTGCCGGGGCAAAGTGCGGGGTGTGCAGGGGTTGGAAGTGAGCCTTGCTGGGGGCTTGTCAGGCGAGGAGGATGGCGAGAGAGGACAGTGGGCGGCGTGGGAGGTGGTCGGAGGTCCTGGTCGCTGGGGTTGGGGCTCCAGGGAAACGAGCTGGGAGAGGGGAGGCGGAGGTCAGAGTGAGAGTCTGCAAGTCCGGGTTTTGCAGGGATTGCGGTTGCTGAACGTGAAAAGGTCAGGTGCCATGGGAATGGTCCGAGCTGCTGTGGAGGACAAGGTCGTCGGGAGGGGGAGGGGTGCAGGGTCAGGGAACTGCGGTCACCTCTCTTTGGTCATTGCAGTCGCCAGTGATCGTGAGCCAGAAGCCTGACCCTTAAGCAGTCAGGGGCAGTGCTCTGGAGGGTTCCGGGTTGACACGCAAGGAGGGTGGTGGGCCCACCTGACCCGGGAAGGAGGCTTTGGGAGAGGGGGGCTCGCCCCAGACCCAGGGGCGTGATGGGTGGGAGGGAAAGCACCCCCACGGGAGGGGCTGCGGGGAAGCAGCGTCTTCAGGGAGAGCTGGGTTTTAGCCCAGGAAGGTGCAGGAGGCGTTTGTCCCAGGATGAGGCGGACTCGGGTTTCCCGAGTCAAGTTTGCCGATTGTTGCCCCGATCTCCATCCTGACAGATGGACACCCGTGGTGTCTGCTGCGTGGATGACAGTCAGCAAACTGCCCTTCCTCCCCCTCGCCCTTCCTCCTCAGCCCCCAGTTTGCCACCAGAAGTGCACTGCAGAGGATAATGCAGCTTCAGAAGCTTCTAGCCCACACCACACTCCGAGTGCAGATTCTGATTCTGGGAATAAACATGTAACAGAAATAGACCCTTTTCCCGAAGTCAGCAAAATTCAGCTAACGCCGCGTAACTCAGCATCTCAGTACCTGTTGCGTTTGCTGTGAACGTCTGCTTACCACAGAGGGTCCTTGGTCAGGGCGTGGCCACCAAATGACCCTCGAATGAGGTTTCATAGTAAACAGAGAGTGGGGCTCATAATGCCCAGTGTCCTGAGTCAGGAGGCTGATGTGAAGTCACCGTGGGGATAGGAGACCTCATTCCCTGGAGCCTGCACCTGCCAGGGCCGGCCAGCAGGGCGGTGGCATTTCTCCACCCTTGCGGACCCCGTAAGAGGGGCTCAGTGTGACGAGAGAGGCCAGGGACTGCCCAGACAGATGTCCTAACCAGGCAGGAGCGTCCAAGGTTCCAGCTAAGTTCTTTCCAAGGTGAAAGCCCAGGCTCTGTTCCTACGCAAGCCTGGCGCATGTGGAAGCTGGGTCTAACCTTTCTTCTCCTGAGCCTCTCCCCGTCTGCCCCCTCCTCCCCGTGGGGGGTGGAGGGGTCATTCACACCCTGTTCTGATCTCAGAGGGGGTCAGTCATAACCTGCCCTCAGATGCTGTGTGTAAAAGAGATTTCCAGACATCAGCTTTCTCCCTTACCACGCTGGTGTCTCATTCATGTTTTCTTTGGGGTCTTTGCCCACTTCCATCTGGGAGCCTTTTGTAAGATATCAGCTGTTCACGAAAACTGTTTAACAAGGCTGCACGACTGCGCTCTGTGGCCTCGGGCAGTGATCGGTGGGCTGGCAGGCTGGGGGCACACAGGGTGGAGGTGCGCGGGGCAGAGCGCAGGGTCGAGGTGCATAGGCTGCGGGGGTTCGGGGTGGGGGCGCACAGGGTGGAGGTGCGTGGGCTGAGGGCTCCCAGGATCGGGACACGCGGGCCGGGGGCGCACAGGGAGGGGCGCGGGGTCGGGCCCGCAGGGTGGAGGCCGGACTGCTTCCCGGGCTGATGCGGGATTCGCCCCGCTGCCGCTCAGTGGCCGGTGGCCATGGTTGGCATTGAGGCTGCTGCCGAATCCTGAAGATGTCCCTCTATTTGTAGCTATGATGAGGAACTGGCGCAGGGCGATGGGGCTGACCGCGAGCTGAGAAGTCGCCAGGGCCAGTCGCTGGGGCCCAGAGGGGGCCGATCAAGAGACTTGGGGAGAACCGTCCTCACCACCTGGAAGTGACCACCCGGGAACACAGAAGACCACAGCCTGACCTTCCCAAATGCTCCCCGCACCCGGGCCTATTTTGAAATTTCCTTTTTCTAGAGCTTTTTTCCTTTATAAGCCCTGTAAATAAATAAAGGCACTTCTTCGGAAGGTTAAGAAGTGTCTGGCGAGGGAAGGAGGCCCTGCTTCTCCTTCGCTGTCACGCGACACTTTGGACCCCAGATGTGGGGAGTTTTCACACGCCAAGCGGTTCTGCGCGTCTCTGGCTGGTGCTGGGTGTCCTACAATTTAACTCAGTTCTGACACCATCTGCCTGGAGATCCCACAGGTGAAGGACCCCGTCCCTCGAGATTGGCCCTCTGCACCCCCATTGGTGCGCTTTTGAATTGATGATGTGGGTCCAGAGCCAACAGCCAAGAAAGAATTCTTGAATGTCTCTGGTGCAAAAAGGTGATTTTATTAAAGCAAGTGGACGGGACCGCGGGCGGGAAGAGCTGCACTGCGGTTGTGCAGAATGACTGGTCACATACCACGTGTTAGGGGAGGTGAAGGAAGGCGAAAGGGAAGCCTCCAAAGGACTTCGGCGGGTGCGCCCGGGGGGGCTCAATTGGTTGAGCGTCAGACTTCAGCTCAGGTTATGATCGCAAGCTCCTGACTTCAAGCCCTGCGTTGGGCTCGGTGCTGACAGCTTGGAGCCTGGAGCCTGTTTCGGATTCTGTGTCTCCCTCTTGCTCTGCCCCTCCCCTGCTCCCACTCTGTCTGTGTGTGTCTCTCTCTCAATTAATAAATATTTAAAGATTAAAGAAAAGATCTAACGGATTTTCATATGCTAAAGAGGATTCCTGAGATATGAGGCCTTGCTATTGTCAAGCTAAGATTGCTTTTTCCCTCCAGCAAGCAGAGCATTAACATTAAGACCCTAGGGAGTTCCTGGCGGAATGTTCTACTCTGTATTTGCCTCAACTATTTGTCAGTGAGCTGCAGGTTATAAGGAAGTTTAATTTTATCTACATTTCCTTCTTGCCTTTGGTCCCCAGGTCACTCTGGAGGGGAGGGGGAGGGGAGGGCTCCAGGAAACTGAGGCCATTGGTTTCTGGAGATCGATCACCTTTTTTTTTCTCCTTGTAAATCGTTAAAACAGTTGCAGGCTGGTGGAGACTGGACCCCGATCTCTCAGGTAACCATTGTGTTTTCCTTTTTTAGCTGAAGACAGGCACAGGCAAGGTGTGCGGGGAAGGGGTGAGGGGCGGCCACGGCCTCCCCTCGGTGCACCGCCCTCCCCGCATCAGTGTGTTCACCAGCCGGCCGAGAAGCTCTGAGTTCTGTAGTCTGAATGCCATAGTTCAAGCAGATTTATGTGGGTTTCTTACACGGCATTGATTGATTAAATCCTGGGCCATTGATGGGCAATTGATTCAACCTTTAGCCCCACCTCCTCCCCAGAGGTTGGGGGCAGGGCTGAAAGTGCCAGCCCCGGGATCTCCGAGTGGTTCCTCGGCAACCAGCCCCGCCCCCAGGCCACCCGGGCACCCCAGCCACACTCCGCCATTAGCACAAACTGGTTTGTTCAAATACAGAAACCGCCCGTTTCACCTTTGCTATCTGGAGCTAATCCAGGAACTGGGAACAACATGAAACATTATAACAAAATGATGTCCCTGGAGCTCTCGGAAAGGAAATTACAAGGGTTTTTTTTTTTTTTTTTTAGGAACAGTGTGACACGAATGGTGATAAAGCCCAAATACATAATTTCTTATGAATCCCAGCGTCCCATTGTCTTTCATTAGAGCCGGAAGGACAGATTCAGAAGTGGGGGAAACCAGCGCGCTCCGCGGAGAGTGCCAGCCTCGGCACATGGTTTACTTTATCACGAGGTGTTCACGCTTTGAAAATACCGCACTAACTTAAAACCTGAATCTGTCCCCTGCCGCTGTGAACAAACGAGGTGTCTGGTTTCCTTCCCTTGCACTTGAGTCCGAGGAAAGGCGGCCACTAGGGTGCTTGTCCGTTTACAGAGGCCCTTGTCCGTCGGTAATAGTAGGCGCGTCTGTCAGATGAGCCCAGACGGTCCCCACCACAACCCTGTGGCTTACCTGACGCCAGCACCTGGGTTTGCCGCAGACCTGGGGGGAGGGGGGGTCAGGTGAGGCAGGGCGGGGGGGCGGGGGCAGCGTTATCATTGTCCGCGGCCATCAGCCAGGACAGGCTCCTGGTGTGGTGTGTTGCCGCGAAGCCACCCTGGACACTAAGTGACCCAGAGGAAGAGCCGGGAGCACCTGAGTAGTCAGTTGGGCCTGTTCTAGCCTCTTGAGACGTGGATTACTTTTTAAAAAAATTTTATTTGTTTTAAGTTTGTTTATTTTCGAGAGAGAGGGAGGGAGACACAGAACCTGAAGCAGGCTCCAGGCTCTGAGCTGTCAGCACGGAGCCTGAAGTGGGGCTCAAAGTCTGAAGAGCGAAATCATGACCTGAGCTGAAGTCGGATACATAACGGTCGGAGCCACCCAGGCGCCCCTGTCGGTTATTTTTAGTAAGGGCCTTTCACTGGACCTTCCTACTGGACACCTGCCTCCTGATGCTTTAGTCACTGTCGTGAGTGTATCTTTAGAACTCGCCACCTGTTTTTCGTTCCGCTGTTCATCTCAGGATTTTGTTCTGCTATTGTGCCGAAGACAGAGGAGACGGGATCTTTCCTGTACCCACGTGTGAACACACGTCAGACGTGTCATGTCGCATGTGTACGTGTGCTCACGTGTTAGGGAAAAGGGCCTTTTACGTGGTAGGACGGAAAGCGAGAGATACCGCGTGAATAGCATTGAGCCAGCATCCAAATGAGCTGCCAGAGAGGAGGGGGCGTGTCTGCAGCCTTCACTTTAAGCCCAGACGGTTCCCCCTTAACGACCTGATTTGTATGTGTGTTTTGCGCAGCCCTTGATTTCACATCCAATGGTGACGGCAGGCGCGGCTTTGCGTTTGGGCAGACCTGGACTTGAGGCCTGGCTCTGACATTGATTAGTCTGTCCCAGGGCAGTCGGGAGGTCTTTGGACCCTCGCATCCTAGCCTACAGAAAGGGGATCAGTTATATTTGCTCCAGAAATGAGCAGGGCCCGGCCCCCAGCCCGGCCTGCCCCGCTTACCCGGGGGCGGCCTCCATCTGGCCTCGGGCCTGGCTCTGGACACAGCTTCTCCGCCCCCAAGTTCCTGCAGCCGGCTTCTCAGTTCCGTTGTCTTTCTGCTCCCAGCGTATCCGGGACAAGGGTGGAGTCCCTGCTGGGAGCGGTGACCTCAGTCTGAGCACGAAGAGCAGCTCCGTCCTGTCAGGAGCGAGGTGGTTAGTTTGCCGATGACCAGGTTGCTAGGTGAGAGTGAGCGTCTGCTAAACAGATTGCTGTCACATACTGACTGTTCCATTAGTGATGTCATGTTCTGGGCCAGATGTTTCCTCTGAGCTTCCAGAATGCACAAGGGTGGGAAGTGCTGGATGTCCGTCCGATGGGCTGCTCAGATGGGCTGCGGCGCAGCGGTTGTAAACGGCTTATCATCCTCATCATCGCGGGGCCCAGCAGGGGTCCCCGCCCAGAGTCTCCGCCCAGAACCGTCCAGATGACACTTCCGCTTTCTTATCAGCTCCCAGTATTTCCCTTTGATGGGAGCTGCAGGGTGGAGGTGGGGGGCAGGTTCCCAAAGTCTGAGCGTCATTTTCTCCCACGACTCTTTTTTTTTAAGTTTATTGTGAGAGGGAGACAAGGTGCACACCAGATAGAAAAGGGGGATGGGCAGAGAGAGAGAGAGAGAGAGAGAGACAAAGAGAATCCCAAGCAGGCCCCGCGCTGTCAGCTTGGAGCCGCGAACTGTGATGTCATGACCTGAGCAGAAATCAAGAGTCAGACGCTTAACCGACTGAGCCACCCAGGCGCCCCCGCAATGGTGCTTTGATTTGTCTGACTTTCCCCAGAGTAAATTCATCATTCACCTACATGGCAGACTGGGTGCTCAGGTTGGGAACGGAGATGTCTTCCTAAGTCTCCCCTCCCCCAGCCCAGAGTCCCTAAGCCTGGGGACAGCCCCCGCACTCAGCCTCCTCCTTCCCCGGGGCCTCCCACCGGACCCCTGCCAGAGCCAACACCAGTCTCAGCCTGCAGCCCCCTCCCAGCCAGCCCGGGGGACCTTCCTCCAAGCCACCTGGCCCCCCGTCTCCCCAGCACCAGGCTGTCACCCTCCGTCGGGCCAGGGAGGGAGAAGAGGGTCTGCTGCAGGCCCCCCGGCCAGCCGGTCGTTGGGCCCAGCACCTGGTTCTTCTCCTGGTCACTGAGCAGATGCCACACGCTGCCTCGGGGCATTTCAGGACCTCCGTGAGGCAACAGGGACGTCATCCAATTTCATTGCCTGTTTCTCATTTGGGAAAACGATGTATTTTTAAAACATTTTTTAAAGGTTCATTTATTTTGAGAGAGAGACAGAACATGAGCAGGGGAGGGACAGAGAGAGAGAGAGAGGGAAACACAGAATCCAAAACAGGCTCCAGGCTCCGCGCTGTCAGCACAGAGCCTGACGCAGGGCTCGAACCCACGAACCACGAGATCCTGACCTGAACTGAAGTCAGACGCTTTGCCAACTGAGCCTCCCAGGCACCCCAGACAACATAGTTTTATGTCTTATGGTTTATCCTAGCGTGAACTATATCATCTCTCATATGCTTTTAAGTTTAAAATGGCATTTCCATACTTTTGTGCCTGGGAGTGTTCGGAGTGGTCCATCTGACGCCCACTCCCGCCGTGGCAGGTGCCCCATATGGAAGCGGCCCGGGGGACTGCGGTGTGCCCTGGAGGGAGCCACAGGCTTCCCCTGCCCGCCACTTGTCCAAAGTTTTTTTTCTCATTTTCAGGTTTAACTCCCTTGATTTTCCTTCTGTGAAAATGCTGCCTGGTAGCCGCAGCTGGACCCCAGGAGTCTCTTTCCAGGTCCTTGGGTGCATCTTTAGGGACAGCGAATTCCTGAGCATGGCCTCCTTCCAGGGCTCGGGTGAGGAAGCCGCGGCGGGGACGGGACTTCGCAGGTGGCCGGGCAGATGGCCCAGATGGCCGTGTAGCCCTGGCCGAGGGGTAGCAGGCCTCGCTGGCCACCACTGGCAGCTGCTTCCTGCGGGGGGACCAGACATGCGCCACAGATCCGTGGGGTCGGGCCCTGTGCTGACAGCTCAGAGCCTGGAGCTGCTTCGGATTCTGTGTCTCTCTCTCTCTCTGCCCCTCCCCCGCTCGTGCTCTGTCCCTTTCTCTCAAAAATATATAAACATTAAAAAATTAAAAAACACACACAAAAATCACAAAATGAAATCATTTCGAATTTGGGTGGACCCTGCGTCTGATGACTGGTGTCCTTGTCAGAGGAGAGGCCGCGGACTCATGGAGAAGGCCATGCGAAGACGGAGCCAGAGACGGGCCCGTGGCCTCTGGCTCCCAGCCCCCCGGAAGCTGGAAGAGACTCAAGAACAGATTCTCCCCTAGAATCTTCCCTCGGGAGGAACCTGAACTGACCGCACCCTGAGTTCAGACTCTGCCTCCAAAACTGTGAGAGAATAAAGGTGTGTGCCTCAGGCCATCGGCAGGTGGTGACTTGTCACAACAGCCCTAGTAAGAGAAGACAGGGCTCCAGGGACCGGCCCACTCGGTGACCGGCGACGGGCAGGGTTTGCTGCCTCGGGCTTGGGGTTGTCCGTCCAGCGTGTGTTCTCGGAGAAGGGCCACACGTCATGCCTCCCGGTGGCCCAGGCCCGGCTGCGCGTCCTCGGTTCCCGGGTTGGTCTCGGCACCAAAGCCTCCTGCCAAGTCAGACGCGTCAGAGAGCCAGAATTTTCTGGGGATTTTTGGGTAATGTGATCGCTGTGTGTACATATGATGCTGATTCCAGGGGTGGGGGACTCCCTGCCCAGATGGCAGTGATGGCGGTGACGACGCCTGAAGCAGGGGGAGGTCCACGAGCCACTGTGTTTGTGCCTCTGGCGTCTGATTCCAGGCCATTGTCAACGCCTCCCTCTCCTGCACCTTTTTTTTTAATGTTTACTTTTTTTTTTTAAGCCTTCATTTTATTTTGAGAGACAGAGAGTGAGCGGGGGAGGGGCAGAGAGAGGGAGACACAGAATCTGAAACAGGCTCCAGGCTCTGAGCTGTCAGCACAGAGCCCGACGTGGGGCTTGAACCCACAGACTGTGAGGTCATGAACTGAGCCAAAGTCAGATGCTTCACTGACCGAGCCACGCAGGCGCTCCTCTCGCACACCTTTTCATTCCAGATGGGAACTGAGTCTTTTTTTAATATTAAAATTTTTTTTTTAATGTTTTATTTATTTCTGGGAGAGAAGAGAGAGAGAAAGCAGGGGAGGGTCAGAGAGAGAGAGACACAGAATCCGAAGTAGGCTCCAGGCTCTGAGCCAGCCATCAGCACAGAGCCTGACGCGGGGCTCGAACCCATGAACTGCGAGATCAAGACCTGAGCCAAAGTCAGACACTCAACTGAATGAGCCACCCAGGTGCCCCAAGTCTTCTTTTTTTAATAATTTTTTTAAAATTTATTTATTTATGAGAGACAGAGACGGAGACAGTGTGAGCAGGGGAGGGTCAGAGAGAGAGGGAGACACAGAATCCGAAACAGGCTCCAGGCTCTGAGCTGTCCGTACAGAGCCTGATGCGGGGCTCGAACCCACGAACCGTGATATCATGACCTGAGTTGAAGTCGGATGCTCAACTGACTGAGCCACCCAGGCGCCCCAATGGGAACTGAGTCTTGATTTTTGTTTCCTGAATTCGGTCCCCTGTGTCACTTCTGCCCCCATCCCCCACTGCCCCCAGCCTCTCTCCCCACCCCACCCCCCCTGAGCTGCTTTAGCCGAGAGCACTCCTGAGGCTCAGGCCCTGGAACCGGCTGCCTCCTGGGGAGAGGGGCCCATGAGGGCTCTATCCTGCTGGGGGTCTCTCCGCTCACACGGGGGCCTGATTCCCATCATGGCTGGAACAGTAAGGTGGACTGGCTCAGAGCTCCAAGGGTGCCCCCTCCACCCACCCATGGAGCAGAGGGCTGTGGCTGCCCCCAGCTTCTGTCCCAGGCCTTAGGCCCCGCTGGCCCGCACGGTCCACAGCCCGCCAGCCGCTGGTGACGGAAAGACATCTTAGAACGGGGGCGCCAGGAGCCCTTCCAGCTGGAGGGACCAGAGGATTTCTGCCTCTGACATGGTCCCCCCGGGAACAGACAGTAGCCCCGACGGCCAGCAGGAATAGGCCTGGCCCTCCCAGCTCTGCGGCCTCGCTTGGGACATAAACAACTACGCAGAATATCAGCGTCAGACGAGGCCCCCGGTCATCACTGGACACGGGCGACAGTGTGGACGTCGTTCAGGCCACAGAATGACCAAACCTCCCCGGCCCGGCTGCGGGAGCTCCGGCTGCTTCACCAGCCAGGGCCCCATCCGGCAGCAGGGGGCTCCCTTCCCTGCGGATGAGGGTTATGAGAAGCCCCCTTCCGGACAGCGGTCAGTCTGGAGCAGAGCCCCGCCTCCTCGGGCCCCCCGCACCCCCCAGCACACCCCCTAGCACCCCATAAGTCCTTCCTGACCCCCTTACTGAGCGCCCCACGCTACTGGGTGGCTCTCCCTCTAGGCCACAGGTGATGGTCCCTCCAGCCTTGGGGAGAAGGTAAGAATATAGAGAATGTGTAACAGTTTCCTATGGCGGATTTCATTACTTTTTTTAATGTTCATTTATTTTTGAGAGAGACAGACAAAGCACGAGTGGGGGAGGGATGGCAGAGAGAGAGGAAGACACAGAATCCAAAGCAGGCTCCAGGGTCTGAGCTGTCAACACAGAGCCCGACGTGGGACTCGAACCCATGAACCGTGAGATCATGATCTGAGCCGAAGTCAGATGCTTAACCGATGGAGCCACCCAGGCGCCCCCAGATTTCACTGCTTTTGATGTGGCTAAGTGTGAAGAAAGATGGACTTCTTCCCCAAGGTCGGCAGAGGCCCTGTTTCATCTTGGAGAGAACACATCTTTCTCTTCGGCAGGTGCCGTGAGCGGCCAGCGGAGAATCAGCCAGGGGTTAGCTGGCCTGGGGCTTCCCCGCCCGGGACTCCACGCCTCCCCCCCCTTACGGCCCCATTCCGTGGCTTGCAGGCCGCTTTCCTCACAAAGCCTTAAGGGACTGCTCAAAAATCATCATCATCGTGAAAAAAGATCCCAGCACCTAATCTGGGAGCCAGGGGATGCTGCCTGGTCCCTCATTGTGGGTGGAGCTTCCCAAGGTCACACAGCTGTTGAAGGGCACGGGCTTCATGAGACTGGCATCTGTGACCTCCCATCAGCTCTTTCCAGCACGGGGTGCCGTCTGCTCTGCAAGTTGTTTTCACGTGGAAACAATAGGTCACGATAGCCGCGGGACAGCGTCCGGGGACCGACACTGAAGATTCTGGCTGACAGAACCTGGCTGTCACTCTCCATGGGTAAGTTTGGGGTACGGGAAGCACACAAGGGAGCCTGCAGGGGATGATGGACCAAAGACAGAATCAGGGCAGAGGAACCAGCTCTCCTGGCCCCCCCCTATTTTCTTGCTGTGCACCTGTGAAGAAGTTACTTAGCCTCTCTGAGCTTTGTTTCCTCATCTGCAAGGTGGGGATCACAACCCATGCCCACCAGCCACCTCAGATGGCCATCAGGGGGAAGGAAAGAGAATCATTGTAAAAGCACCAAGTCACCATCAGTTAACATTTTTGCTACAACTTTTAAGAATCTGTGCCCACCCTCAAGGGGTTCACAAGCTATTTCTTGTACAGACCAGGCCTATGCAGCAATGAAAAAGACAGCAGAGGCTCAGGGTTGGAGAAGCAGCATGGCAATCCCAGGCGGCTTCCTGGAGGAGGAGGAGCTTGAGCTGTATATCTTAAAAGAATGAGTGAAAACTGCATGGAAGGCAGGGGAATGGTGAAGGTTAATGTCAGGAAGATGGTTCAGAGCCATAGTATGAAGGATACTGGATGCCAGGCTAAAGAATCTGGACCAATTCCGTAGGCACTAGGGAGCCATTGAATGTTTTTGAGGAGGGACAAGATTGGTGTCCTTAGAGATGTGAGCCTGGGGGCTGGTTTGGAGGATGCTGGAGATGGGAGGGGGGCAGGAGGGAAGCAGAGCAGGGAAGAGCTAAGACAGTGAACTCAGGCTGGGCACGGAGGGCGTGCAGGTGGGAGGGTGGGGGTGGAGGGAGTGGCTTCTGGGCACTGGGTTGGGGGAGGGAGGGCGAGCGAGGCAGGAGCAATTCTCAGTTGCCCAGCAGGGGGCGTTTGTGTGAAAAGGGTTTGAGCCTTGAAAGTGGACAGGTAAACGTTGCAAAATCAAGGTAACTGAAGTACAGCCAACCCTTGAAGGACGCGGGTTTGAACTGCACGGATCTACGCATTGGATTTTTTTCCGATCAGTACAGCCCTGTAAACGTATCTTCTGTTCCCTGTGATCTTAATACCGTTTTCTTCTAACTCCCTTCATTGTGAGAACGCAGTGTGGAATTAACACGTATAGAATGTGTGCTAATCAGCCCGTTTGCGTTACCAGAGAGACTTCTTTCTGGTCAGCACTGGGCTGTGAGCAGTTAAGTTTGGGGAGACAAAAGTCACAGGCGACTTTTCGACTGCGTGGCGGGAGGGGGGTGTCTGCACCCCCTGACTCCTCATTGTTCAGAGTCGGCTGTACTTCCCAGGAGACGTTCAGTGAGGTCCCGCTACTGTGACTGTGGAGTCACAGTTCCGGGTAGAAAGCTGTCTCCAGCAAGCCCATTTCCCTGCTTTTCCACGGTGTCCCCTGGGGTTCGGGGGGCGTCTGCTGTTTGGTGAGCAGGTCCCGGGGCCCAGCTGTGAACGAGACGGGCCAGTCCTGGCTTAGCAGAGTTCGCTGTAAAGGGGAGAGAGAGAAGAGGAAGGAGCCACGCCAGGGATGGGGAGAATTGCAGCCACCGGAGGGCAGGCACTGACGCTGCCAGAGAAGGTGCCATGAAGGGCCTGGCAGAGGCTGAGTGTGACGGGGGTGGGGGGTGGGCGCGAGAGGCCAGCCCTCAGGTTGTGCTGCATCGGTGCTGGGGATTAGGGCTTGGGGCTCTGGGAGGGCTGGCTGCAGGGCACAGGTGACTTCCTCGGATTCTGGAAGGAGCTGCCGCTCCCTCCACCTGGGCCCCTCCCCCAGGAGAGACTGTGAGGCTGAGCTACTGAGGTGGGGTCCCCTTGCAAGAAGGACCGTGAGCTTGAAAGGCCAGGGTGTGGGGCTGCCCTGTCACTGGCTTTCCCCGGTCCTGACCATTCAGTTCTCCCTTCCGTTCCACTGCCCTTCCCCTCTGTGCTGCCGTTAGCCTGAGCGGTCTAGACACGGCCTCTGATGCCTGCCCCCCACAGCATCCCAACCTATAAAAACGTCACTGTGGTTTTGCCAAGGGACACAGATGGAAGCGTCACCTAGATGATGGTCTGAAGAGAGAGGAGATGCTTAGAAGTAGCGTCAACAGGACTTGGCGGGGGGTAGGGGGGTGGGGATGAGTAAGGAAGGGAGCGAGAGATGTCAACAAAGGTGCCCAGGTTTCTGGAAGGTTCTTTCAAGGCAGGGGCTCTGCGGAGGAGCAGCTCAGCAGAAGGAGGACCTTCCGTTTTAGAGATGTTGAACTTGAGGACAGTGGGCCGTCGTGCTGGCAGCCGAGTGTCGGAGGCTGGACGGTGACACAGAACTGAGGGCCATCGGCGTAGAGCTGGCAAGGGTGCCCCAGCAGGTGGCCCGAAGGCAGAGGGCAGCTGTTCTAGGTCAGCCCACACGAACACAGCATCTCAGGGGTGAGCGCTGCCCAGGGTCATGGTCTGAGACCTGAGCGGGGGGGGGCGGGAGGGGGAGGGGACTTCACAACCTGGGAGTTCAAGGTCACAGTGTGGCAGGGAGACCCATTAGGAAGTGAACCAGCCACATAGACAAGTCTTTCAAGTAGGGACATGTAAGAGAGAAGGGAGTGGGGTCGTGCACCCAACTAAAGGTTATTACTTTTTATGGCTTCATTCGTTCATTCCTTCATTCACTCATTCATTCATTCACTCATTCGTTCATCCCACTAATATTTACTGGGTGCTCACCGTGTGCCTAGCTGTTATAGGTGCTAGGGACCCTTTGCTGAAAAAGATGAGCCAGTCCCTGCCATCATGGAGCAGAAAAATCCAGCGGGGGCTGGGAGAGAAAGCACCTCCTTGAGCAGTTTTATTGAGATGTAATTTATACCATAAACACTCATTTTAAGTGCACGATTCAGTGGTTTTTAGCAAATGTACAGAGTTGTGCAGCCATCGCCACAATCCAGTTTTAGAGTGTCTCCATCCCCCCCAAGACCCCTCAGTGCCTGTTGGTAGGAACTCCCCATTCCTACCCCCAGCCCCTGACAACCACTACCCTACTTTGTTTCTATAGATGGGTCTTTTGGGGGCATTTTATATAAATGGAATCCTACAGCATGTGATGTTTTATGTCTAGCTTCCTCCACTTAGCATAAGGTTTTCGAGGTGTCAGGATGCACCAGCATTTCCTGCCTTTTGATGGCTGAACAGTATTCCAGGGGACGCGTGGGTAGTATGGTGTTTGCCCAGCACCCAGCTGGTAGCACTTGAGTTCTTTTTACTTTGTAGCCACTGTGAGTAACACTTTGTAGCCATTGTGAGTATGTAGCCGCTATGCATATCTGTGCACAGCCTTCATGTGGACAAATGTTTTCATATCCCTTGGGGATAACAGATAAACTGTTTTGGGAGCTGCCAAACTATTTTCCAAAGCACAGGGTGCCATTTTACATTCCCGCCAGCAGTGCGTGTGGTTTTATTTTCTCCACGGCCTCACCAATACTGTCTTAAAAAATTTTTTTTAATGTTTATTTATTTTGAGACAGAGAGAGATAGAGCATGAGTGGGGGAGAGGCAGGGAAAGAGACACAGAATTGGAAGCAGGTTCCAGGCTTTGAGCTGTGACCACGGAGCCTGACGCAGGACTCGAACCCATGGACCGTGAGATCATGACCTGAGCTGAAGTTGGACGCTTAACCGACTGAGCCACCCAGACGCCCCTTGACTGTCTTTTTACATCTGGCCATCTTTGCAGATGTGACATGGTGTGTCCTGTGGCTTTATTTGCATCTCTCTAAGGGCTAAGGATGTTGACCAACTTGCTCTGTGCATATGTTACATTTGTATATCTTCTTGAGAGAAACCATATCAAAGAGCTGAAATGTTCAGTTCTGGGAGGAGAGGGTGACTTATCTCTAATTCTGCGGTGGAAGGTTTCACGGACTCTTCCACGAAACCTTTACTGACAGCTCTTGTCTACACTGCCTCTCCTTTCTCTTAAAACTTAAAGCATAAGTCAGATCATATGTGAGGCCTCATGCCCTCCAAAGGAACTTCCCCTGGATCTTAGAATAAACTCACGCTCTTTGCCCCTCTGGCCTCTTCTCCCACCGCCCTCTCATTTCTGCCCCTGCCCATTTTGATGTATTTTTTTTTTTAATGGTTTACTTATTTCTGAGAGAGAGAGACAGCGTGAGCAGGGGAGGGTCAGAGAGAGAGGGAGTCACAGACTGAAACAGGCTCCAGGCTCTGAGCTGGCAGTCAGCACAGAGCCCGACGCGGGGCTCGAACCCACGAACCGCGAGATCATGACCCAAGCGAAAGTCGGACGCTTAACCGACTAAGCCACCCAGGCGCCCCTGCCCCTGCCCATTTTGGAGCAGCCTCTGCGTGTGCCACACTCTTCCCTGCCCCAGGGCCTTGGCACTGGCAGTCGCCTCTACCTGGAGTCCTCTTCCCCTTGCTGTCTGCAGGGCTGGCTCCATCTCGCCATTTGGAGAAGTCTGGTGCTCTCCTTCTCAGAGAAGCTGTCCTGATCATCCTTTCCTGACTAGCCAGTCTCTTATCACCTTCTGTTTGCTTCCAAGCATTGATCACCAGCTGGAATTAGTTTACTTGCTTTTTTACCTTCTGATGGCTTTGCAAGGGCCACTCCAGCATTTACCCAGCCCTGGCCTGGCAGCAGCAGGCATTGGATACAGGTCAGCGGGATGACTGACCGATGGAGACACGGGTGTCTGCTCATTTGTGACTGTCCTCACCCTCCAGCCGTGTGGCTTCTGCTGCCCGGCCCTTTGCCATCCATCCCCAGCGGAGATGAGGCACACCTTGAGATCCGGGTGACATTCCGTCCTCCGTGCTTGGTGGTCACTTGGCAAAGCACTTTTGCACAGAGCAGCAGGCGCTGGGGCCTGGACAAGCCAGAGCAAGGCCAGCTGGTATCCGAGGAATGGTTTAAAAGTTGGGGAAATGTCCTCCCAAGAAGTGAATATTTAAGGGTAACACGAAGTATTCGAAGAGCCATAGGGCGAAGAGGAGTCCTGTGTGACGGGATGTTGCAGAGGGCAGAACAGGGAGCCGCGGGCAGAAGGACCGAGGAGGCAGGTGTTGGTTTGGCATCAGGGGGACGTGTCTGTTAGCCCTGTCTAGCTCTGGAATGGCTCATCTTTGGGGCAGTGAGCCTCCCGTCCCAGGGAGAGTACCCCTCTCCCCGGGGTGCGCTGGAGAGGACACTCCATGGACGAGAAGGTTGGAAGAGGTGGCTTGTAGGGCCTTTCTGCCTCTGAGCCTGCGGGAGTCCCCTAGGCTGAAGGGGGCATGCTGCACTGTGCCAGCAACCCGAGGTGACCTAGAACTTTGATCTGGTGCTTCTGGAAAAGGGGAAAGAGCCCTTTCAGGGCAGAGGGAGGAAGGAGAGCAGTGCGCACGTGGCACATGAGGACCGGCCAGCATCCGGAGGATGGGCTACGCTCCAAGGCCCTGAGACGGACTTTGCCGCTCGCTTGCCGATTTGTGGGGTCTCCTCTCCCCTATAGCAGGTCTGCCCCACGAGGGCAGGGACTTGTGTCATTCACCGCGGCTCCCCTGGTGCCCAGATGGTGTCCGGCATTGAGTTCCTGCTCAGTAGACGTGAATCCAAAGCCCGGCTCTGGAATCTGCATCCCTGGGAGAGTCCCCGCCCACTCGCTGGCTATTGCTCTCAGTTCCTTGAACCTCTGTTTTCCTTGTTTCCTCAGTGTGGGTGGTGGCGCGAGCGGGACAGTCATTCCGACCAGCCAGGTGGTTGCTCTTCTCTTATTCTTAGTAGGTCTTTGTTGCTGGGTCCCCCTCCCCGGTTCCCGCTGTCCCCTGGGCAAGTGAAAACTTCCCAAAGTTTCCAGGTGCCGCCCACCGACTCACGGAGAAGATCGCCCTGGCTAGTGGAGCCAGAATGTGGGTGAGCGTCAAGGGAGGGTGAAGAGCCCCGGGCAGGGTGCAGGCTGAGTCACGGCCGCAAACGCTGAGGGGCGTGTCGTGGGCATATGACACCCAGTTCCGGCCAGGAGGATGCCATGGCTCCTGCCCGCAGGCAGGGAGGCCCAAACAGAAAGGCTTTGAGAAAGAAAGGAAACGGGAGCACAAATGGACAATTGCAACCAGCTGCCACCCAGGAACCCCCTTCGCCTGGGAGGGGCTTTGGAGCATCAGCTCCCCGCCGGCACTAGCCCAGCCTGTCACAGGGCCTAGAGTGGCTTTCCCAGTTGCAGATACAGGGGAGCCTCCTGGCTTCCCCCTCCCCAGCCAGCGCTGCTTCTCAGTGTCTGGCCCCAGGGACCCTCAGACACTGTGTCCACAACCTGGCAGGCTCTTCCGCTCCCACCTCAACCTGCTGAAACCCTGCCCCTTCCTGAGGCCCAGTTAAAACACCATGTTCTTGGGGCATCCGACTCTTCACTTCAGCTCAGGTCACGATCTCATAGTTTGTGGGTTTGAGTTTCACGTCGGACTCTGTGCTGACCCTGGAGCCTGCTTCGGATTCTGTGTCTCCCTCTCTCTCTGCCCCTCCTCTGCTCACATTCTGTCTCTGTCTGTCTCTCTCTCTCACTCTCTCTCAAAAATAAATGAACATTAAAAAAAAATTAAGGGGCACCTGGGTGGCTCAGTCGGTTAAGCATCTGACCTTGGCTCAGGTCATGATCTCACAGTTTGTGGGTTTGAGCCCCGCGTTGGGCTCTGGGCTGACAGCTCAGAGCCTGGAGCCTGCTTCGGATTCTGTGTCTCCCTATCTCTCTGACCCTCCCCTGCTACCACTCTGTCTCTCTCTCTCTAAAATAAATAAAAAGCATCAAAAAAATGTTTTAACTTTAAAAAAGAATGAATAAGTAAATAAACTTTAGAAGGAAAAAGCTTGGGGCGCCTGGGTGCCCCAGTTGGTTAAGCGTCCAACTTTGGCTTAAGTCATGATCTCATGGTTCCTGAGTTCAAGCCCCGCGTCAGACCGTGTGCTGACAGTTCAGGGCCTGGAGCCTGCTTCGGATTCTGTATCTCCCTTTCTCTCTCTGCCCCTCACATGCTCATGCTCTGTCTCAAAAATAAATAAACATTAAAAATTAAAAAAAAAAAGAAAGAAAAAGCTAACTTGAAAAGAAACAGTGCCATGTCCTTGAGCTTCACACCATCTTCTGATGCAGCACCTGCCCCCTCCTCTGCCTGCAGGTGACATTTCAGGCCTCAGTGATTGTGCCCTGGCTGTCGACTGGTGTTGCACCCCTACCTCATGTTTGCCTCTCCCACCCTGGGTCCTCTTCCCTTGTCCCCCAGCTTGAATGTGCTTCTGGGGGACCACACATTTTCAGATAACTCTGCACACACTTACCCGCATTCCTCATAGGTGCTTCTTCTGACCTCACAGCTCCAGCCCACATGCACCTGCAGATCCAAAATGATTGCCTCCTGAAAAAATATATTAGCGCTTCTTGGCATTGACCCAAATGAGCTGGCAACTCAGGTCCACACAAAACCCTGCACGTGGATACTCTCGGGACCTTTACTGCTAAGTTGCCCAAACTCGAAGCTTCCATGGCTGAACAGATGGACTGCATTGCATGGAATGGAGTGTTACCAGAGATAACAAGAAATGAGCTATCGAGTCACAAAAAGGCATAGAAGCGGCTTCAGTGCGTGTCACCAAGTGAAAGAAGCGAGTCTGGAAAGGCTGTGTAATGTCCGGTTCCAACCGTACAAGATTCTGGAAAAGGCAGAACTCGGGAGTCAAGCTGGATCGCTGCCAAGGGCCTCAGGGAAGGAGGGTGGACGGGATTCCTGGGCCAGCGAGATCATTCTGTGTGACCCTGCAATGGACACGTGTCATTATGCACTGGTCGAAATCCGTCAAACTGTGCGCTTTTGTGAGTAATGGTATTGCTTCTGCAGCGGTAACAAGTGCACCACGCTAATGCGGATGCCAGTGCTGGGGAATCTAGTGACCAGGCGGGACCTCTCTATAGTTTCTAGTCGGTTTTTCTGTAAACCTAAAGCTGCTCTTAAAAAGTCTATTCGTTGAGGGGCGCCTGGGTGTCTTAGTCGGTTAAGCGTCCGACTTTCGCTTAGGTCATGATCTCACGGTTCGTGGGTTCGAGCCCCACATCGGGCTCTGTGCTGACTGCCAGCTCGGAGCCTGGAGCCTATTTCAGAGTCTATCTCCCTCTCTCTCTGACCCTCCCCTGCTCACGCTGTCTCTCTCTCTCTCCTAGAAATAAATAAAAATACTAAAAAAAAAAAAAAAGTCTATTCGTTGAGGTGCCTGGGTGGCTCAGTGGGTTAAATGTGTCTGTCTGAGCCTTGATTTCGGCTCAGGACATGATTTCACCAGTCATGAGATCATGTGATCAAGCCCCATGTCCGGCTCTGCACTGTCAATGCAGATTCTCTCTTTCCCTCTCTCTCTGCCTCTCCCCTGCTCTCTCTCTGTCTCTCCCTCAAAAAATAAATAAATAAACTTAAAAAAAAAGTCTGCTCATTGAGGTGCCTGGGTAGCTCCGTCGGTTGAGGCTATGACTCCTGATTTTGGCTCAGGTCATGACCTCACGGTTTAGGAGTTCAAGCCCCTCACTGGGCTCTGTGCTGACAGGATTCTGTGTGTCCCTCTCTGCTCCCCTCCCCTACCCAAGCTGTGTCTTTGTCTGTCTGTCTGTCTCGCTTGCTCACTCCAAGGTCATTGGTTGAATTTCCTACCATGCCCAGTGGGTATGATGAGAGGTTTCCACATCTGCACTTAGGGGGCTTGGGCAGCAAACAGTTCCTGCGCCCGGGTTAGGGGGCTGCGGGGGGGGAAGGGGCACTGGGAGGCCCGAGTTGGGCCTAACGTGGGCAGGGCTCTCACGCTCCCACAGGCTGGGCAGAAACAGCCGGCCCAGGTCCCAGAATCACCTCTCCCTCCCTGCTGCTGGGTTTGTCACCTCTCTGAACCTCACTCTTCTCATCTGTAAATGGGGAGTACAATTCCTGCCCCACACTTGGGAGGCTTAGCTCCGTGTCTAGATTGCTCCCTACGTTAGGCATGGGCCTGGCCCGCGGCCTCAGGTCCCCTCTATCTGCTTGGGAGGGGAAGGCCCACGGACTTTTTTAAAAAATGTCAAACCTGCAGTGTGACAAATGAAGACAGCCGGAGAGGTGCAGGGAATGACTTCTGTGTTTTCAGAAAGCGGTTTCCAAAGAGGGACGGGGCCTTGTGGGAGGTCTTCTGGAAGTGTCCAGAGGAGGGCCTCGAGGAGGAGTGTGTTTGTCTGGGAAGGGACATTAGCCATTAGCCGGTGAGGAATAGCCAGCAGGAGCCAAAACATTAAGTGGGAGAGAGAGCACCGCTGAGCTAGTGTCCAGAAGCAGCCTCCGACATCTGACAGGGCCCCAAGGCCAGTGCTCAGGGAGGCCCGGACCAGGGAGCCTGGCAGTGGCTCTGCCCATGCCCTCTGTGCTGGGAGACTCAGCAGGGTCGGGGGAATGCGAAGGGCATGGTTTGGGGGCCAGTCAAGAGCTGCGTGACCCTGGACAAGTCACTTTACCTCTCTACCTCAGTTTCCCCAAATGCGAAGTGGGGGTTGTTGTGAGTTGCTGCATGTAAAGCACCATCACGGGGCCTGTCACCATGGAAGGGGCTCATTTGGGTGGCAGCCATGATTATTACGGGGGCTGGGAGAAGGCAGGGCCGGTCAGACCCCTCGGACCCTCCCCGGGTGCCCAGCCTGAGAGGTGCCCCCGTAGGTGCCCGCTGAAGGCTGACGGACCCACGGCTGCACAAACGCGGGAGCGCTGGCTCTCTCCCCGGGCCTGGTCCCGTCTCTGGGTGCCACTGCGGTCACAGAGCAGGGATGCCGGGACCTGTAATTAACTGGGGCCCCGCTGGGCGGGTGGGCGGGCGGACAGGCTCTCCCTGGTGCCCACATGACACTCCTGTAGCGCACGTGCCGCAATCTGAAACCCCAGCCACAGACTGGAACCAGTTGCACAGAGAACAGAGTTGTCACAACAGGAAGGGTGTGTCTGGAGCCTGCCAGAGGCCAGTGGAGGGGCCGGGGCCCTGCTCCCCCACACCCCAGGCCACCCCCAAGAGCCTCCAGGCCCCAGGTGCTTAGAACATGGCTACCAGGAGCGTGTCCTTGGCAGGGTGCTGGATTCAGCCCTGGCCAGCCATCCCTGACCTTGGCTTTAAACTGTAAGGAGGATTGTTTGCCTGAAGCCTTTAGGTACCTGCTCGCACGCCACCTCAGGCCGGCAGCCCCAGTACCTGCTCCCTCAACATGTCCTTCCAAGGCCTGCTTTTCCTCTTTTTTTTTTTTTTTAAATTTTTAACATGTGTTTATTTTTGAGAGACAGAGACAGAGCATAAGCAGGGGAGAGGCAGAGAGAGAGGGAGACACAGAATCCAAAGGAGGCTCCAGGCTCTGAGCTGTCAGCACAGAGCCTGAGGCGGGGCTTGAACTCACCAACGGTGAGATCAAGACTTAAGCCGTAGCTGGAAGCTTAACCAAGTGAGCCCCCCAGGCGCCCCAGGCCTGCTTATCATCTTGGAGGATCTGCTCAAATTCTACTTTTCTCAGGAGCCTCCGGGGCCCCCTCATGCTTGCTCGGGCCCTCGGGAGCCTTGTCCACAGCCCACCTCCTCTGGTCCCCCACCCGGCGGGAGGCGCTCCAAAGTAGAGAATGTGTATTGTTCATTCGCGCCTTGCTGGGTCCCCAGTATCACGTGTCTACTGTGTTACAGGGAGAGGTGGCGTCGGGGTGGGTAAAGAATGTTGGAGAAGGAGCCAGGAGCCCCGCGTTTGAGAAGGATCCATGGCCTGGGCCTTCCCCGGGCCTCTGCTTCCTCACCTTAGAAGGAGCGTAGGACTCACCTGGCTGTCCTGTGGGGTCTTGTGGCTTTGATGTTCTATGGTCCCAGACTCTGTCCCCAGCCTCTCCCACTTACCCCACTGCCAGCCCTGTACTGCTAATGCAAAATCGTCCCCTCCACGCCCGATAACCTGCTGATCGCTTATCCTGATGTAGTGTCCGTCATTCATGCGCCCGGAGAAGGAGTATTCTGAGCCTCTGCCACAAGGCGTTCACATTCAAAACCACTCGAACTTGGGGCACCTGAGTGGCTCAGTCGGTTAAGCGTCCGACTTCGGCTCAGGTCAGGATCTCACGGTTCGTGGGTTCAAGCCCCGCATTGAGCTCTGTGCTGACAGCCAGCTCAGAGCCTGGAGCCTGTTTCAGATTCTGTATCTCCCTCTCTCTCTGACCCTCTTCTGTTCATGCTGTCTCTCGCTCTCTCTCAGAAATAAATAAAAAACATTAAAAATAAAAAAAAAATAACACTCGAACTTACCCTGGCAGCCTCTGACTTGGATCCTTCGTCTGCTGCCCAAACCCAGAAAGGAGAGAAAGTGGCTGGATGGGCCGTCCACCAGGCAGGGGGATGGCTTGAACTTGATCTGGAGGGTCGAGGCCTTCCCCATCTCTCACCCCCACTGGGGCTGTTTGGATCGGAGGGTGGGTTCTGATGGGTTATTCTCAGACTTGCTTGGAGATTCGCATGGTGGGGGTGGGGGGGGGGAGAGGAGGCGCGGGCAGAATTGGAATCTGGGAGGAGCAGAGGGCCGTGGGGGCGGGCACGCCAGCAGCAGGGTGGGGCGGCCTGTGCAGGAGGCGCCCGCGTTCCTCCGCAGGCAGGCGATAGCCCCACAGCAAGGCCACCTCCCCGGGAACATCTACTCTCCCCAGCAGCACCCTTTTGCTGCTCTCAGGACAGGGAGTGCGGGAGCGGGAGAAAGAGCCAGCACGTCCATCTGGGCCTGCCGGGCACCCCACCTGCTGGCTCCCCCTTTCCCAGGCCAGCGGGTGGACCTGGCAAACAGGGGCACCGTGGCCTGGGCCAATACCGGCAAAAGTAGGGGTGAGCCATCATCGCCCTGTCCTGTCCCCCTGTCCGGATGAGGGCATTGAGGCTGAGTTGCCCAAAGCCGAATCCCTAACAGCACGCTAAAAAAGGAAGTCTCTTAAAACAAAGCAAAGCAAAGCAAAACAAAAGGAATGAGGAACTTCTGAGTCTGTGACTAAGTTCCAGGCTTTCCTAATTGCTTGGGGGGCGGGGGGGTGGGGGGAGGAATTCTTAGCAAGAGATTAAATGGCCTGTGTCACTCAGGCCTCTCCTTTCTTCTGCCTCGGTGAGGTGACTGGACCCAGTTAAATATTAACCAGGGGGCTGGGGTCCCTGGGAGCCTGACCTTCATCGCTGTCTCTTGTACACCGGCCACGGCCACAATGGTGACATGAGGCTACATAAAACCCTGGGCCCAAGATCATTCCAGCAGGAAGTGCACCCCCCCACCTGCCGAGGCAGAGCCCCCGTCCAGTGTTTCACAGTGATTGAACACGTCAGGCACAGACACACAGACACAGGTCCTATTCAGCAGGACGTTTGGTGACAGCTGGTCTGGGGACCAAGAGCAGCCCTTGATGGCTCCCCACTGTCTTCTAGTTCGTTGTGTTTTCATCTGTGACACTTTTTGCCTGAAATTTTATGTGTGGTCAAAAGCAGCGCCTTATGGGTGTGCATTTATTTTATAATGTAAGCATGGTATACAACTTCTTTTATAAGTTCGAGTTTCGAGGATTCATCTGTTGTAAAGCGAATCAATAAGAGCAAAGTTACTTTTGGGGGCCCTGGGAGGCACAGTTAGTTAAAGCATCCCACTTCCGCTCAGGTCATGATCTCACGGCTCGGTTCGTGGGATTGAGCCCCGTGTTGGGCTCTGTGCTGACAGCTCAGAGCCTGGAACTGCATTGGACTCTGCATTTCCGGCTCTCTCTGCCCCTCCCCCGACCAAACTTTGTCTCTCTCTTTCTCTCTCTCTCAAATATAAACATTAAAAACAGAGCAATGTCACTTTTTTGATGAATGCACATTTCATGACCACTGTAGCGTATTGTTTTTTTTTTTAATTAGCTTTGGTATCATTCATTTGGTATCAAGGAAATCTGGAATCACAGAAATAGTTGCATACGGTAACTTTGTAAAACAAGGTTTTGTTTTACAGTCACAGGATGCCCTTCGATTTGGCTGATCTGGGAGACTGCCAAGGGAAGGATGATGCTTTGGATTCAGGATGGCATTGCCGTTGGCACCCAGAACCTCCTCATCCTCCTGAACTGCGGGAACTCAAGGAGGGAGCCCAGGATGCGTTGATATGTTCATGTCAGGGTAGAAAAATCTTCATGATGCACCAAGTGAAGGCTGGGCATTGTTAGGTCTTCCTTCAAAGTTTCAAAACATTCACTTTTGTGTTATTGTTAGCTCTTGTTCTGTTTTAGTACAAATGGCAACGTTGTAACCTTGAACCCCCATGGTGACACTGAGTAAAATTTCGAAGAACCCTCCGGGAATAAGAGGAGCTTGCAGAAAATGGGGTGATCCTGATGCAGGGTGGCCTGGAGACGCCCATGTTGGGAAACGTTGTCCGGCTGATGCGACCATATCCCGCTGACTTTGGGTGGCAACACACTCCCACCCGGCAGAGTTGGGTTGAACGTGGCACTCGGTACGTGCAGCTGTGTGCTTGATGGTACAGTTTGACGTGAGCCGACGTGCACAGGCCAGAACAGAACAAAAGGAAGCAAAGCGAGAAAGGCCAGGATAAAAGCCTCCTAATCAATGACACATTTGCAAGGAATCCAGATCTTTCGACAACTTGGCAGGGAAGAGCTTCATTCGGAGGTATATCCAGAAGTGGGCCCCTCTAGCTAGCCTCCACTTAATGCTTTGGTGCCTCTAAAATATTAATAGTCGACGCAGAGTCCATTTACTTGCATCTAGTTTGTTGGATCAGAGTTAAAAAATTTAAAACATTAAATATATCCCAAGGCACTCTTATAAAACGTGGCGGGGTGGGGGTTAGGGGCGGGACACACACAACCCCTGCTAACTGCCAGGGTCCATCCTAAGAGCAGGTATGACCTCATGAATCCCTCATGAATAAATAAAGTTTATTTTGAGAGAGAGAGAGAGACAGAGCATGAGTGGGGGAAGGGCAGAGAGAGGAAGAGAGAATCTGAAGCCGGCTGCCTGCTGTCAGTGAGCTCAGGAACTGCAAACTGTGAGCCTGGAGCTGGACGCTTAACCAAAGGAGCTACCCAGGCGCCCCACCCCCACCCCTTTTAACAGAAAACTGAGACCTCGGCTGGCACAGAGCTATTTCCCCGCTCAGCCGCCTTCCCCACCTTATTTCAACCTCATTTCTTCTCATGCCTGCAATGCTCTGGCCAAGCAGAACCTTCCTCTCTTCCTGGAGAGCAGGTTTTCTTGGCTCTGGGCTTTTGCTCCCATCATTTCCGTTCACTTGGGCTCGGTTAAATATCACTGCCTTCAATGTCGTTGCCCTCTCACTGGAGGGGTTCTGGTGCTCCAGGACCGCTGCTGTCCCTTGATGGGACGGTCTCTTCTAGACTCTGTCTTTGCTGGGTTTTCTCGGGAGGAGGAGCAGGACCCAGGTCCATCCCTCCCCAGGAGGCCAACTCTCCCCACCCCCCACATTCTAAACATTGGAATTATTATTATTATTATTTTTAAATGTTTTATTTATTTCTAGGAGAGAGAGAGAGAGAGAGACAGCGTGAGCAGGGGAGGGTCAGAGAGAGAGGGAGTCACAGACTGAAACAGGCTCCAGGCTCTGAGCTGGCAGTCAGCACAGAGCCCGACGCGGGGCTCGAACCCACGAACCGCAAGATCATGACCTGAGCGAAAGTTGGACGCAAGATCATGACCTAAGCGAAAGTCGGACGCTTAACCAACTAAGCCACCCAGGCGCCCCAGGAATTATTATTTTTTAAGTTTATTTATTTTGAGAGAGAAAGAGAGTGAGAGAGCAGAGATGGGGCAGGGGTGGGGGGAAGAGAGAATAGCAAGCAGGCTCTGTGCTATCAGCACAGAGCCCGATGTGGGGCTCGAACCCACGAACCACGAGATCATGACCTGAGCTGAAACCAAGAGCCGGATGCTTAATCGACTGAGCGACTCAGGCACGCCAACATTGGAATTATTTTTAGAGTGAATGTCTCTAACAGATTTTTATTTTTTTCTTTTAAAAAAATTTTTTTTTAATGTTTTATTTATTTCTGAGAGAGAGAGGCAGTGTGAGCAGGGGCGAGGCAGAGAGAGAGAGGGAGACACAGAATTCACATCAGGCTCCAGGCTCTGAGCTAGCTGTGAGCACAGAGCCCGATGCGGGGCTTGAACCCACGAACTGTGAGATCATGACTTGAGCCGAAGTCAGATGCTTAACCAACTGAGCCACCCAGGCGCCCCCCCCATGATTTTTTTCTTGAACAAGGAACATATATCTCCGTAAAAGAAAGACTATTTGGGGGCATCTGGGTGGCTTACTCAGTTACGTGTCTGACTTCGGCTCATGTCATGATCTCATGGCTCATGAGTTCAAGCCCTGTGTGAGGCTCTGTGTTGACAGCTCAGAGCCTGGAACCTACTTCAGATTCTGTGTCTCCCTCTCTCTCTGCCCCTACCCCCACTTACGCATTGTCTCTCTCTCTCTCTCAAATATAAACAAACATTAAAAATTAAAAAAAAAAAAAAAGACTATTTTACCAGCAATACAACTATATCTGGGTGTTTAAATTTTTTTGCAGAATGTTTTGATCTCAGTGAAAACATGTTTTAACCCGGGCTGTGTAAAGTGTGTGCAGGCTGCTGAGTGCGGAATGGCTAATAAAGGACTAATTGGGTCGGTCTTGTTCCAGACCTAGGTAATAGGCATATTTTGTGGGGAGGAGGGACCACAATGGCAGTGGACAAAGCATGGCTGCTGTCAACTGCTCAGGGACCGAATGCTCATTCCTACATGCATGCCCAGAGCTGCTCTCCACGCTCTTTTTTGCCCCACTCACTCGTCTCCAACAACCCTGTGCGATGGGCTCTGTTATCACCCCCATGTCACAGATGGGGACAAACAGGCACAGGGAGCTGCAGTGACTAGCCCCAGACCCCTCAGTGGGGAAGGGGCAGAGACAGTATCCGGCTCCAGGCCAGTCTGAATCCAATTGGAGGAGGCTGGATACAATTTTGTGAAATGTTTCTGGGGACCAAAGTTGGGATATTCACATCCCTGGCAAAGAGGAGCTCTCTTTGGAAAAATACCTTGCTAAGCTGCGGGGGCGGAGGGCAAGACAAAGGGCTCCGCAGCAGTGTCAAATTGCTAGTGCAAGAAAACGAGAGGAATTTTGTGTTTGTCCTGTGACAGAAAGAGACAAGAAAGGAGCCAATGTGTGGAGGCTGGAGCGCTGCCTGGGTCACGTGGCCAGGAAGTGACCTGGGGGGCTAGGAGGCCAGGAAGGCTCAGGAGGGGGCTCGCTGCCAGCCAGGGCCAGGCTCAGGGCCTCCCTGTGGGGTCCTGTCTTCAGGGACCCCTTCTAGCCTCACAAGTGCTCAGTGTGAAGGGGGATATGTGTGAGCGGGTGTGTGCATGCAGGAGGGGATGAGGGCAAGGACTGAGGAGTATGTGGGGAAGAGCAGGAGCCTGGAGACTGAGGTGACCCACTGGAGGTTTGGGGGGAGGAAGACCGAGCCACAATTAGCATAAACACAATGCAAAGAAAGGAACAGTTTAGAAAGTGAAGAAACACTCTTTGTGGACTCTCCCCGTTCCTGTCTACAGGTAGCAGAATGTATTTGTTTGTTTGTTTGTTTGAGAGAGAGTACAGGGAAGGGGCAGAGAGAGAGAGAATTCCAAGCAGGCTCTGGGCTGTCAGTGCAGAGCCTGAGGCCGGGCTCGAACCCGTGAACTGAGATCATGTCCTGAGCTGAAACCAAGGGTCAGTTGCTCAACTGACCTACAGGTGCCCCTACAGGTAGTAGAATTGTACAGTCTCCACCATTTTGTGTCTTGCCTTCCCTTTTACCATTTATCATTTAGATTAAGCGTTTTCCAGCATTGCTACACTGTCCTCACAATAATTCTCCGGGTGGAACCAGCACAGATCTGGGTTGGGGGGACCTGGGTTTCTAATCCTGGCTCTGCCATTTACCCTCTTCACCCCATCCCTTCCAACCACCCCCTCCCCCACGAGTCCCCCAGATTGCCTGGCCTCAGACTCCAAACCCTCCCTTGGGCATACTCGGATCATCCTCTCCACCAGGATCGTTGGAAGCAATGCTTGGAAAGTGCTTAGTGAATGTTGGTAAGTTTTTACTCGTTATTTCTGTCTGTAGAATGGGGCTAATACTCCATCAAGCAAGGTCTGGGAAGAACCAGAAAGAAAGTGCTCCATTGGGTGGGGCCCGGCCTGGCGGCTCTGTCCACACACACACACACACACACACACACACACACACACCCCTTCCCTCCTTCCCTCCACCACCACCACCACCACCACACTCTGCTGGGCTTAAATTAAGCGGCTCAAGAGGAATGCACTCTTGTGGCGGCTATCTGAAGAAGCCCTGTTGACATTGGCTTCCCCGAGTGCCCTAGGAGAGGAAACTTTCAGAACGACTACTTCCCTGAACTCCCAGTCGGGTGAGGCGCTGCTCTACCGCGCTCCCCACGCCTGGGTGCCAGCAAAGCCTCAGGACTCCGGCCCCTGGACGTGAGCCCGGCAAAGCTGCTCCTGGAAGCGACCCCAGGACTGTGACCCCCCGCACCCTACCGGTTGGTTAAGTAGGCACTCCCCCTTGATTGACAGGAGACGCCGCCAATGGTGCCCAGAGGAGGTTCTTTTGCCCCCCCCCCCAGGGGGCGTGCCGCCTCTTGGCTCTCTGGTCCAATCCGGGATGCCGAAGGGGCTGTGGGGCGGGGCCCGGCGCCCAGCAGCCAATGGGGCGAGCGCGGCGGGCGCGGCGGGGGCGGGGCGCTCCTGGCCGGCGGCAGCGGCGGCCGCGGCGGGGCAGGGCAGGGCAGGGTTGAGGAGCGCGGCCGGAGAGAGGGCGGGAGCCGGAGCCGGAGACGCCGTCGCGGCGGGAGCGGATTGCGCGGCGAGTCGGGAGGAGAGCGGCGGCCGAGGTGAGGGGCGCGCCGCGACGGTTGGGGCGCCGCGGGCGGCCCCAGGGGCGCCGGCGGGCGGCCGGGCCCGCGCTCCGCGCCCGGGGGAAGCCTGAGCGGCCGCGCGGCGGGCGCGCGGACTTCCTGTCTCCGTGGGAGGGGGCGTGTTCGGGGGCGGCGGGCGCCCGAGCGCGAGCGGGAAGGTTCTCGGGTGGGAGTCGCTGGAGAGGGCAGCGCCGCAGCGGGGCCGGCGGGGTCGGAGGCTGCTGCCGAGGGGGCAGGTGGGCGTCCCGCAGACACTCGGGGAGGAGCAGCGGGCGCGCTCCGGCGGAGCCGCCCGGCCGAGGGGCGCGGAGGTTCAGTGGGGGACCCGCGGGCGGCTGCGGCGCCGGAGAAGCGCGGTGGCTGTTAGGCTCCAGTCGGAGGGCAGGCGGGACACCTAACGCGGATGAGCGTGTTTGGGGGCGCTTTGAGGACTGCCCTCCATTTCCTTCCTTCCCACCCTCCCCGTGTCTCTCCTGGCTCCACTGGGAGTGGGGATGGCGAGGCCTTCCTGGCGAGCAGATCCTGGGGCAGGGGGGACAGGCAGGAGAGGTTGGGGCTCTTGGGCCTCCCCCGCCCCCTCCGTTCCACCCTTGGAATTTTCCCAGATTGTCACCGGTTCTTGGAAACGTGAGCACTTTCTCTCTTCTGCGGTTTCCGAGCCTGCCCCGGGCATCGGAATTGGAGAGGGGTCCCGGATTAGAGAGGTAGCAGTTTCTGCCCCTTAATTTCAGTGGTTCCTTGGGTTTTGACCTCACCAACGCCGGGAGCTTTACTTTCCGGATGGAGCTGGTCCGGAGGGCAAACTGCGCTGCCTCCTTGGGACCCACGCGGCTGCTGCCTTTGAGGATGCTGCCCTCCAGTTGGGTGTCCAGGGGAAGGTGGCCTTCGAGGTGTGGGTGTGTGTGACCGCCCCTGGGTCTTCCCTCCTCTGCTGCAACTGTCCTGTGTTTTTGTGGCTGGGGGCGGGGAGGGTAGGCTGCCCGGAATCTCCACGGCTACTCATTACACTTTACCAAACACTCCCTGGCTGTCCTGATGAAAATCGGAGAACAACTAAAAAAATTCAAACCTGAGTTGCCGACGACGGTGAGCTCATAGCTTCCTTCCCTCCTCTGCAGTTTTAGGCTGAAGTGCTGTTTTAAGCCTCCTGGGATTGCGGGTTGGAGCCCAGGGCAAGGAAACCAACCAGGTGGGCTCTGGTGAACGCCAACCTTCCCGTTCTTGCCCCAGATGTTCTTATTCCACTTGGTTCGGAAGCCTCCACGTACAGGCGTTGAATAGGAGCCAGGGCAGCTGGGTTTCTCTTGATTCACGTGGGAAACTCATCTGCGTGCATTTCAACTTAATTCTGGAGCTCAGTAGTCTCCTTGGTGAGATTATGCTGGTTGAGATATGAAGCTACTACATCAAAAACGTTTCTGTGGTGTGTGATTTTCTTTCGACAGTTGTCTTCAGGCTTTAAAGGAGCTTGGCTATTAGGGTGAGGATATTGATTACTTGGGAAAGAAACATGACACGGAAGAGTAGAAGGGTGAATAGGTCTGCACGCTTTAGTCAGTTTTTTTTTTTTGTAGGGGACTAAAAACCCATTTGAATGGACGTAACATGCCCAGCTCATGGTGTTTGGGAATTGGAACTTGATGACTTTCGGTCGCAGATGTATGAGAGGTCATAATATTTAAATAACCTAAAAGTATGCGTCTGTGAAAAACAATGTCTGGGCTTCCGGCACAGCCTGCTGCTGGGAGATAAGGTTGTCTTTCCCTAGTCCTGGATGTCCAGTGTAGATCTCTGATAGCCAGGCCATTCCTGGGCTGGGGGCTGGGATGGGGAGGGGGGGCTCTGTCCTCTACCTCTTCATTTTCTTCTCTCTTCACTTGAAAATTGCGTAGACCGACTTACGAACATGATACTCAGCTTCCTGCTACTGACTGGGTCGACGGTTGATTTTTAGGACGTTAAGGAATATCAAAAAGATTCCATAGATTCCTTAATTAATAGTAATGGTGCCTTGCGTTTAGACGGGGAGCATTTTACCCAGTGCTCTAGGCTAACCCTCAACTGCACCTCCCAGCCGACTCGAGCCTGCCTTATCTGCCAGCAGATTGCCACGGCCGCTTTATGGAGGCCTCCCCGTAGATTATGGGGGTGATGACCACATTTGTGCGAGCCGTGAGGCTGGCTCGGTTTTTTTCCAGTTAGATTGTTTGGAGCCGCAGCGACGCACCTGAAGGCAGGGCAGCAGCGCCTCAGTTATGAAGTCTGTGCATTCCGTGGGCAGAGACCTTCCCTTACAGCCCGGGCAGTGATCCTTCACAAACCTGAAAGCATCTTAGTGCCTGAAACCTGACTCCTGGTGGGTCCCAGTGGTGGTCCCTGGGCCGGCCGTGGAGGAATTCCTTCCGATGTTGAGCTTTCTGATGATTCTGCTCTGTCTGCCGACTGGAGACAGCCTTGAAAGAAGAATCCTCAAAGTGTATTCGGAGGTTTTCTGGGCCATGCAGCATTCTTTACATGCGTGTGGTTCCAGAGGGAACTCTCTGAAGAACAGGGCCATCTAGAAGCACACATGTTGGTAGTTTGAGGAAAAACACGCATACAACAACAACAGAAATCCCCTTTCTGTAGTTATGTGTTGACTTCTGTTTTATTCCCAGAATAACAGAATTTATTTATTCTGCACATTAACCTGTTTGCTTCATAAAACAGAGCACCATGTATCTATTATTAGTTCCTAGATTAAGATCTTTATTTTAAAAATTTTTATTTTTATTCTTAATTCAGAGAGAGAGAGCATGAGCAAGGGAGGGGGCAGAGGGAGAGAGAGAGGAGAGAGAGAGAGAGAGAGAGAATATATTATGGAGGCTCTACAACTCAGCGTGGAGCCTGACATGGGGCTGGATCCCACGACCCTGGGATCATGACCTGAGCTGAAAGCAAGAGTGACATGGTCAACTGACTGAGCCACCTATGTGCCCCACTGTTTTGTTTTGTTTTTTCTAAATTTTATTTTTAGTTAATCTCTAGACCCAGTGTGGGGCTCAAACTCACAACCCTGAGAGCAGGAATCACACACTCCACCCACTGAGCCAGCCAGTTGCCCTCAAATCTTTATTTTTTAATTGAGATCTGTTGGACATACATTTATGTGTTTCTTTAAAAACATTTTTTTTTAACATTTATTTATTATTGAGAGACAGAGCACAGCAGGGGAGGGGCAGAGCAAGGGGGAGATGCAGAATCCAAAGCAGGCTCAGGTTCTGAGCTGTCAGCACAGAGCCCCATGCGGGGCTCGAACTCACAAACTGTGAGATCATGGCCTGAGCTGAAGTTGGACGCTTAACTGACTGAGCCACCTAGGTGCCCCTATATGTTTCTTTTTTAAGAAAATTTCATGACCACAAAATGATTTGAGTGTTTCCTGGCTGCAGGCGCTGAACTAGATAGGATGAGAATAGAGAAATGAAGAAAATACAGTCTCACCCAGCAAGGACCTCAGCAGGAAGCCTTGAGAAGAGAAATCGGAGGGTAGAAACTTTGCTATGACTTTAGCAGCCAGATGTGCAGTGGCTCGTGTAACACCCTGTGTGGCTGTATGAGATTTGTGTGACATTTTTCCTCCCTAGGAACGTGTGCTGGTGAGAGAGGAGGAGTGTGGCCGGAGACGGGAGCTCCCGGGAGCTTTTCCCTCACTAACCTCAAGGCCTAGGACAGTCCCATGTCTTAGGGTCTCCGGTTTTAGATTTGTAAGGTGATAGGCTGAGAGGTTCTTTGCCTTTTGAGAATCCATTAAAAACTGGGGACTCCTTCCCAGAAAGCACACAGCTTCAGAGGCCTGGGGCAGATCCAGGTCTCCGGGATCACCCCATCTCTAACCCCCTTTCACTGCTGATATTCTCTAATCCTATTTTCTCGGTCATCTTTGAGCTAATAATAACAATGACTTGTATTTATAGAGGACACATTCCAAAGTATTTTCACTTCTCTCTCTCTCTCTTTTTTTTTTTTTTTTTGGTCCTTAAAGCATTTCTGAGTGGCGTGGGTGGTGATGGATATTCCTTTTTGTGATGAAGAGGGCGTCCAGGGCTGGCTACCCCTTTGGTAGGATCACACAGCCAGAGGCTTATCCTGGACCAGAACTGGGGCGGCTGGTGGCCAGCTTGGGGTTTTTCCATTAGGTTTTGCTTCCTTGGTGGTTGTCATTACGAGTTCTGCTTGGCAGTGTCAATATCCCAGGATGTGTCACTTGCAGAGGAAACTATTTGCTCATCTGCTGAAAGGGCTGTTTTTTTGGTCGGAATTTGGATCACTGAACACCTTTCTGCCTGACTGTCAATAGGATTCTAATTTTGTTTTTTGTTATTTTTTTTCTTGCCATGTTTTTCATAGGGACACATTTGTAGCACTTGGGTGTCTTGAAGCAGATCCATTTAATGTTTATTAATTAAAGGGTACGTTGAAATGATTACCTCTCAGTTGCTTAGCACTTGAAAAACTTGTGAAGTCAATGTTAAGTCAGAACTCTAAATGTTTGACTTGCCCATCCAAATATGTACTTACCGATGAGCTGTGCCCTGTAGCCTGTGAGGCCCCTCCCTGGTCCCAGAGCTCCTGGGTGGGTTTGAGGGTGGGGTGTGGATTGTGCCAATGACCATGACTTTCCAACAGTGGCTTCTTGTGGCCTTCTGCCCCGATTCTGAATATTTTAGGGACTGATTTTTTTTTTTCAGTTTATTAACAGAGCTCAGAGTCTCAGCTCATGTATGCAAAAGAACAGCCGAATTTTAAAGGCTCACAGACGTTAGGTGGTTTATTACCGCTGAAAAGAATCATCATAGTGAATGTTTTGAGTACTCGGAAGGAGGTATAGGATGGCATACAGTAGGTGTCACTCATTATCCAGACACGAAAAAAAGGTATCTGTTCGTTATTTGTTTGTTTCATGACGCACTTCTTTGGGAAACCTACGAGACCGAGGCAGACACGTACCGTCTCCCTGACATTGAACAGAAAGCCTCATGCCCTGTGCCGGCATAAATTGCTTACATAAATTGCTCCCCAGAGAGAGGGATTGGTGAAGGCTACAGGCAGCAGTGAATTCTGAGCATTCAGCAGTTGGAAGTCACTAGAAGTAGCAGCCTCGTCAGGAAATGAGGCTGTTGGAGGGCAAGGCCCACGGCGAGGCCCCTGGCTGCCTGGCCCCTTGCAGGGATGGTGTCTGTGTCCAGGTAAACACACAGCCTGCTGTAATGCCGCCTTCACTAGCTCTGCTGCTATTTACAAGCCCTTACTCTGATCAGGAAACGTGCAACCCCTAAGTTGGCGCTTCTCTTCTAGTCGCCTCTTTTCTGTGACGTAAATATCGATAGAGTGGCTGTCAGCTCCATTAGGCCGCCACGTCCAAGTGCCTGCTTTTTATTTTAATTTCACTCCCCGTGGCCCAGAGTGTTTGGAGAGAGGTTTGTGGGTGCGAGGAAGGGGGCAAGGTGGGTCGAAGCTGGGGGCATCCTGGCTACTGAGAGTCCAGTGTGCCTGGCTCCATCCACAGTTCTGGGATCCCAAGATTAAGGTGACTGTCACACTCTGCAGAGGCAGATGAGTCAGGGGGCCGGCCTGGAAGCAATCCCGTTTCACCGAGACCGTAGCAGATAGGAGTGTGTACAAAGCGGGGAGTGGTGGGGGGGGGGTGCAGAGGTGGGAGGCTCTGACTGCTCTCCGAGCGCTGCAGAGAGTTAACCTTCAGGTGACTTGGGAGTGGGTTTGCTGGATCCACAGGTGCTTTCCAGGAGGCGACGCCTGGACAGAGAGTCCCGGGCAGAGGCACGGGGCTGTCAGGAATGTGGGGGCGTGAGTGGCTCCGTGTGAGAGTTGCTGCCTCAGGTGGAGGGAGGGCAGGCTGGGTGGGCAGGCCTCAGGCTGTGTAACCCGCCTGGCTGGGGTTTGGACCTCCTGCAGGGTGGGAGTCCAGTGCGGAGCTGTTTCTGGGCAGCAGACACAGCAGATTGAAGCTCTGCACAGACGGCAGATGAGAAGTCAGGGATGCAGATCGGGAGGGGTGGTTAGGGAGCTCATCGTAGCCAAGGTCACTGGTGTCCCCAGAGTCTCAGAGGTTACCGTCCAAGTTCCTAGGAAGCAGGGGCCACACTCTCTGATGAGAGGGGCTCCCAGAGTGGGATTGGCCGCCGTCTCGCCTCCGGCTCTTTGCTTACACTTTCGGGTGGTCGTGCAGTGGCTGCCTGGCTTCTGCTTTTCCCACGTGGCGGTTGCTCACCAGTCCATGCGGCCGTTCGGTACCTTTCACCTCTGGTTCTGCAAGAAGGTCGTACTGCACGAGGGTGCCGGAGGTACCACTGTTTCAGAGCCACACAGCCCTGTTTCGAGTTCAGCTCTGCCCCCGGGTGAGTGTGTGGCCTTCCCAGGCCCTGTGTCAGCACCCCCAGCACTGGGCTGCTGACAGCCCCTGCTCTCACCACTCAGGGAGGGCAGTGTGGCCCCGGGAGCTCAGCACCTGCGCCGGGCCCGAGGTGCCGGCTCAGTAACTTGGGTAGTGCCCAAAGTCCAATGTCTACTTGAGTGAATCTGCCAAGTAAGCAAACCATGCCTGTAAAGTGCCCGATTTGATGATACGTTATGCAATTCTACTGCAAATCCTCCTAAATGTTTTCTTTTCCCCGGTGAAAGTGTATTTAGTATCTTTGGACCTTTCCTTGGTGATTCGGGGTTTTAGGGGTGATGTCGGGGTTGTCATTGGGGGGCGGGGCCATCCTCCCTCCCGCCCTGGCACTTGCAGGGCCCAGCTCGTCTGCCCGCCGCCTCTGCTTCTGTCTGTCTGCATCTGCCCTTCCTGTTGGGTTGCAGGTCTGAGGGCGGTCGCATCATCTCTGGGTCACCCGAAGCCTTGCTCCTTCTGGGTGGGTGATTCTGGGCCTGAGCTGAATGTTCTAGGTGGTGGAGACCCCGAGTCTGGGATGACGGGCTAATGCTTACGGCGCGTGTGGGTGATGATAGCTGTCACTGAGGTGATGAAAAATACCACGACTTGAGAAAGCAAGTTGTGAAGGTGCGTGTACACTTGTCTCGTGGGGAGAGTACTAGAATACGTCCAGCGACGGTGGTCAGGGCTATAGACTTATGGAAGGTTTCTCTTTGGGTCCCGGATCGCAACGTTACTACCCTTTTCCTCTTAGGATTAATATTTGCGTCACAACTTGATTTCATAACAACAATATAATAACAACAGCTTGGTTGTACAGGCATCTGCAGTTTTCCAGAACTTTCCTAGAGCTCTCGTTTTGCTTCCAGAGCAGCCTTGTTGGTTGGCTTCCCTCTTCATTGTTTGGAGGAGGAAAAGAGGGAGGCCTGGGGGGCTGGTGGTTTGGCCGAGGCGAGCTGGCCAGGACCCGCACACGCCTCCACCCTGATCTGGGCTCCCCAGGAGCCTCAGTGCGGGCTCCTTGCTGGGCCTGCAGGCGGCCTTTCCACACACAGAATGGATTGTGCCCAGCGTTTTGACGTTTCCTGTTCAACTGAATGAAATTTTATTGTAAAGCGGTGCCCAAACCGTACTTTGTGAACATTCTCGTATTTTAAACTGCAGTTTGTGTTCCATTGTACCCAATTATGTCGTCGCCAAGCGAGCGTGCCAAGTCTGTGAGCTGTGGTCTTCCCAGGAACCACAGAGCCGGCTGTGCCCCCCGCACAGGCCTCCCAGCCCGCTGTTAGTGGGATTTTATAGCTGACTGGAGGCTGGCGGCTGGAGCTGGCCTGCCCGGTGCCGTTCAGCTTGGACGTGACAGTGTTTTCATCAAGGAAGCTGTTGTGACGTCTGCACCAGCAAGCGCATCCTCGGCTCAGGAGTCTGGGCGGGCGCTAGCAAGGAGGCCCACGACAGTGGGTGTCGGTTGGGGGGGGGGTCACCATCTGGACAGGGCTCTGGGTTCTGGGGTTTCTGAGGGACCGAACAAGAAGCTTTACATTCCTACTCATTTGACTCCTTCAACGAGATAGCATTAACTCCGTTTTACACATAAGTAAATCAGAGTTCTGAGAGATGAAGTGACCTTCACAGGGTCACCGACAGAGCTGGCCCTTGGCTTGACTCTGAAGCCACATTCTTTTTTTTTTTAAAGTAAGCTCTACCCTCAACGCGGGGCTTGAACTCACGACCCTGAGATCAAGAGCCTCATGATCTGCTGTGTGCTCTACTGAGCCAGCCAGGCGCCCCCGAGACCACCCTCGTGTTACTGTTTTGCTGCCTTGAATAAGTAGATTCTGAGTCACTCACTGTCGCATGAAAATAAACATTAAATGCTAATTTTCCTTCCCCATCTCTCAGGAACAGAAAAGAGGCGAGTCATGTGGCCTTTTAAGATAGGATCTGTGCCTGCAACTAAGTCGGTGAAGATAATCTGAACGTTTGCAGTAATTTATACAGCAGGGAGATAAGGGCAGAAAAGGGAGAGGCTTTTCAGTATCCCAGCTGCTAGGTGTGTGTCACGCCCTGTGCATCATCCACCTGCGCGATGTCCACCGGCTGCCCCTGTCCAGCTGCCTGTGACCGGGGCGGGGCAGGTGGGCCGGGGAGCAGCGTGCCTGGGGATTCTAGAGCTCCTGGCCTGGGCGTACCCTTGCCCCACCTTCCACTGGCTACATTTTGAAAAGTGTCACATGCTGTTCAAAAGCAGTGAGTTGAAGAAGAAATTACATTTCTGCAAAGCACTCATCTTGCACTCTGTAAAATTGTGAAAGATACTCACATTTTGTTGACATTGTGATATCAAACGAAGATTCGTTGAGGTAAATTACAGCAGATGTCTGTTTATGCTTGTGATAAATCTTTTTTTTTTTTAAATGTTTTATTTATTTCTGAGAGGGAGAGAGAGAGAGACAGCATGAGCAGGGGAGGGGTAGAGAGAGATGGAGATAGAGAATCTGAAACAGGCTCCAGGCTCTGAGCTGGCTGTCAGCACAGAGCCTGACATGGGGCTCGAACCCACGAGCCATGAGATCATGACCTGAGTCAAAGTCGGATGCTTAACCGACTGAGCCACCCAGGCACCCCTTTGCTTGTGATAATTGTCCAAAGGCTTTTACTAACCCCGTTCTTGTCTTTTAGTTCTTTTAAATATTGAAGGTGCAGAGTTTTCTGTTGTTTTTTTTTAATGTTTATTTTGAGAGAGAGAGAGAGAGAGCGAGCGCACTGGCGAGGGAAAAGGCAGAGAGAGAGGGAGAGAGAGAATCCCGTGCTGGTGGCACGGAGCCTGACGTGGGGCTCGAACTCATGAACTGCGAGATCATGACCTGAGCCGAAAGCAAGAGTCTGACGCCCAATCGACTGAGTCCCTGGGGCGCCCCAGAAGATAGAGTTTTCTAAATAAAGAATCTGCCTGTGTTTTACCTTCCGTGTGCATAGGGGTTTTCAGTTTATCTTAGAAAGAATAGCTGTCACCTGCCAGCTGCCTGCAGGGTCCCAGGCTAACCGAGAGGCCAGGGAGGTGCGGTGCCTCCGTCCACCTCTGAGGTTGCTAGTCTGAATGCAAGGACACGGTAGGCCGGTAGGCAGTGAGACCGTGTGCCTAGTCCAAGGTCATTCAGGGTTGTAAATGGGGTTGTAAATCTCTTTTTCACTAATCTTCGCTCGTAGGATTGTATTACGCAGATCCACTGAAAGATTTTATCTGATATTTTCCAGGTTTTTACCAATGTCTTTAACAAGACCTTTAATGGTTTCATAATCTTGTGAATGTAGTGAGATTAAACCATTTCCCTAATGCTGGGCCATTTTAGGTAATTTCCAACTTTTTTGGCTATTGTAGATGAATTTGTAGTTTACAGTTTCATTTTTTCTTCCTCCGTTTGTGTGATCAGTTCCTGGGAATAAATTCTCAGAAAGAGAAATCCCGGATTAAAGGGTGTGAACGTCTTAGAGTGTTTTGAAAGCCTTCTGTTGCTTGTGGGTTTGTTTTCCTGATATTTATGGGTGAAAGTTTCGAGGGATTCTCTCTCTTTAAGATGCCTTGGCCTCTGGAACTTGCAAGGATCTGTGAGATTCAGAAACTTTCCAGAGGTTTTCTCAAATGAGTCACATTTCCTTTCTAGGTTTTTGGCTATCGTTTTACTCGAATTAGCAAGAAACAGTCTTGCTACTTTATTAATCGCCCGAGCTAATGTTCTGCATTCCCAAGGTTGTGAATGTCTGTGGCCACATTCCCTCATCAGCACAGCGGTTGTGACGCTCTGGGCCACCACGTCTCCTCGTCTCTTCGCTGGGTGACAGCACGCATAGCGGAAGGACTTTGCCAGATCCCCCGCCAGTGTCCCTGGGATGTCAGGACAGCCTGGGGATCAAGTAACCCACAGATCTTGCCTTGTGTAGCTTCTATAGGCCGCTCTCCGGGCGTGCTTGGCCCTGTGGTTCGAGTCCAACCCCTCAGAGAACATACTGGAAAGTGTGTAGTGTTGTGCTTGCTCTCCTCGTTTTTTTTTGTTTTTTTCTTTGTTTGTTTTTTTGTCCCGAAGTTGCCGTGTCCTTTGCTGTCCCTCACTGTGTCCCTTCACCGAGGGCTGGCTGGCTTCTTCACCTTCTGCTGTCACTGAGATGTCCTCCTTCAGACTGAGCAGAGTCCTGTGTTCCTGGTGGCTCGTTGTCCAGGGTCCATAAAAGAAAAGTTGCTTATCAGGGCCAAGGAGGGGCTCAGGTGGGGGGGCAGTGCTGGGCCTCGTGGTCTCAGCTGTCACCCTCCCAGCGTCCGTGCCTCGGATCCCCTGCTGTGTCCCCTCCACACCCTCGCATCTCTGGGCCCGGCAGGGCCTGCTTCCTCTTGAGTTCTCCCCGAGGACAAAACTTCTTTTCTTAGTTCCTCTTGTCCCGTTTAAGAAAGGCTGACGTCCACAACCGAGCAGAACGAGCGGGTTACAACGCGCTACGGTGGAAATGGGGGGGGTCATGGCAGACACAGAGGCGGAAGGAGAGCGGTGTCTCCCAGACGTCGGTGGGTTTTTGCCGCCAGCCCTGCTGCCTGGCTTCTCTGCATTGGCGCGGCTTCCCCTCCCCTCTCGTGTTTACTCTGTCAGGTTTATTTTTTATTTATTATTGTTTGTTTGTTATTATTATTTTTTTAATGTTTATTCGTTTTCGAGGGAAAGAGAAGCAGAGCATCAGCAGGGGAGGGGCAGAGAGAGAGAGGGAGACCCAGAACTCGAAGCAGGCTCCAGACTCCGCACTGTCAGCACCGAGCCTGACCTAGGACCTGAGCTCACAAACTGTGAGATCCTGACCT